TATTGTTTAAGTATTATAACGCGTTCTTGTAATCTGCTTCTGCATCTTCTTTCAACTTTTAACTTCATCAACAAGAACTTAGTACAAGTACATCACTTGTGATCATAAGTACTCTACTCTTGGTACTGCTCCATCTACTCACATTCACAAATCCGCCTTCACCGCCAATACTCGAAACACGCGAATGTTCGCCACAACGCCCTTTTCCCATCCATCCTTGATCAATTCTGGGTTCTCCTTCAAGGCTCCTTGTACCGCTGTCGGCACTTTAGCTGGCTCCACGAAATGCGCCTTTACAGCTTCAATGTCATCAAAAGCGTCCAAAATCGCAAATTCTTCTGGGTCTTCTTGATTCTGCACTGCTGCCCAAAACGGGGTACCGGATTCGTGCTCTTGAACAAGGCCGAGGCCAGCAAGTAAGAGTCCCTTGACATTTTCGACTTGGTCTGCGGAACCAGCTTTGAAGGGGATGTAAGAAACGAATTTAACTTTCTCAAGCTTTTCCTGCTCGTTTTTCGGAGCAGCAAGTAGTTTCCAGCCTTTAGCAGACGCCACAATGGCGTCCAAACCGCCCTTTACAATCGGTTCTTCACTCTCATCGTTAGCTTTCACGGCTTTGGGGACTTCACCACCGAAATGTGCTGCTTTCGCTTCATCATTTACGAAAAAATCAATGATGCCAAACTTTTCATTGTTCTCTTCGGGAGTGAGCTCTTGACCTAGTTCCTTAACCGGAAAATGCTTCATGCCAATCCACAATTTGGTTCCGGGTTCTGTCTGCTTTACAGCGTCACGGGCAACAGTCATAAAGCCAGCTGCATCATTGATCTTGCCAGGATTAGCGGAAAACTCAATAGTCGAAGCCACAGTGACCATGGTCGAAGCCGCGGTGACCACCTCAGAGGCAGCGACCTCAGTCGAGACTGAGGAGGAGTTCATGCTGTTGGCAGACATTTTTCTTTTCTCGTTAGGGCTTACTGGGGTGGAACGCAGGAAGAGTCTCTTGTTTAGTTAGCAGGAAGATCTTGGAAATGCTAAGTTTCTTGATGACTATGTATAGGTTTTGGTGTCTATCCGAGCAGGTTTTAACAAGATGTAGGGTGACGAAGAAGAAAAACTATAACGACCGGCACAGAGGAGAAGTTGATGAAGTAGAAAAGCTAAAAAGGAAAGTTTTGCGGGGCATGCGTATGAATTCAGTCTGTGAATTTGGGGAAAGCAGGCGTTTAGGATGTATTTCGTCTAGAGATCGACCCAAGCTAGGAAATGCCAAGCCATCCCTCGTCACGCAGAGCACGTGCCAGACGTATTTGCTCTCAAGAACAGAAGGCTCTCTCCGCATTATATCCACTCACAAAAAATGCGCTATCAGATCTACTATCCACCCTTGATCTTCGTTTTCACAAACTCATCGGGTATCTCTGATCTCACGCGGGTGATCATGTAATATATTCAGAGGGAAATAGATCAAGTCGTAGCCAGGGATCTTTGTTTCTCTGTTTACCGAACAAGAGCGTACTAGATCTGTAGATCCGACCATCAAGAAGATCATTCTGTTTCAACAAGATCCATGATCACACTACAACTGTGACTGAGACTGACATCTTCGATACTGACATCTTTGATACTGGTGAGGCATACTCTTTATATTTCCCCTCTCAGCGTCTGTGTATTTTCTATTCTTCTCTTTTCATCTCCATGGAGGACCTCTGTCTCTCTTCTCTTCTCCCTCTCTCTCTCCAGATATAACATTTTCATCTCGTTGCCTCCACTTCTTCAATCATTCCAGTAAAACCCGCATTAGCGACGGCTTCAGCAAACAAGGGAAGAGAAAGTAAAGCTGAAAGGCGTCGGCCTTAGAGACGCTGCGCTTAATGTACTATAATTTTTCAGCGTATCATGTGTATAAGCCATATTAGCTTCATATCTGGCGGACGCTTCATTTATACACCACCAGGATAAGGTTTCTGGATACTGATGGCATCCACAACTTTCACGTCGAAGGTTTTTTGAGTGTGGACCTTATCAGCATCGATTCCAAGAGTTCCAGCGAATTAATTCTAGGCGCTCCTATGTATAGATTCTTTATCTATTTTGATAGGATATACTTCTTCTTCTTCTGGCCCTAGCTACTGGTACAACGATCTAGCACGAACTCATAGTACATTCTTACTTATGGTATTCCTTTTGTTTCCTGTTTGTAGAACAAGATGAAAAAGTACTGGTATCACATCACTCAAGTTCCCATTTGTTCATCTTCTTGGAAAAGCGATTTAAGTAGTTCTTCATTATGTGTTGTACGACTTTACGACCACTCAATACTTGATAATATCTTTTTACTTAGAAACTACTTTTCAAAAAGTACCTTCATCCCCTCATCGATCCAAAACTAAATATTTTTCCCAAAACGATTCAAAACAAATATTAGGCCGCACCGACATCATGTTAAGCAATGTCCGCTCGTAGTAAACTTTACTTCCAGAAGAGAAACAAACGCGATCAACTCAAGTGGGCCGAAGTTGTTATGTTGGCAACCATCTTCCAACTTAAGTAATTATTGTTTAAGTATTATAACGCGTTCTTGTAATCTGCTTCTGCATCTTCTTTCAACTTTTAACTTCATCAACAAGAACTTAGTACAAGTACATCACTTGTGATCATAAGTACTCTACTCTTGGTACTGCTCCATCTACTCACATTCACAAATCCGCCTTCACCGCCAATACTCGAAACACGCGAATGTTCGCCACAACGCCCTTTTCCCATCCATCCTTGATCAATTCTGGGTTCTCCTTCAAGGCTCCTTGGACCGCGGTCGGCACTTTAGCCGGCTCCACGAAATGCGCCTTTACAGCTTCAATGTCATCAAAAGCGTCCAAAATCGCAAATTCTTCTGGGTCTTCTTGATTCTGCACTGCTGCCCAAAACGGGGTACCGGATTCGTGCTCTTGAACAAGGCCGAGGCCAGCAAGTAAGAGTCCCTTGACATTTTCGACTTGGTCTGCGGAACCAGCTTTGAAGGGGATGTAAGAAACGAATTTAACTTTCTCAAGCTTTTCCTGCTCGTTTTTCGGAGCAGCAAGTAGTTTCCAGCCTTTAGCAGACGCCACAATGGCGTCCAAACCGCCCTTTACAATCGGTTCTTCACTCTCATCGTTAGCTTTCACGGCCTTGGGGACTTCACCACCGAAATGCGCTGCTTTCGCTTCATCATTTACGAAAAAATCAATGATGCCAAACTTCTCATTGTTCTCTTCGGGAGTGAGCTCTTGACCTAGTTCCTTAACCGGAAAATGCTTCAGGCCAAACCACAATTTGGTTCCGGGTTCAGTCTGCTTTACAGCGTCACGGGCAACAGTCATAAAGCCAGCTGCATCATTGATCTTGCCAGGATTAGCGGAAAACTCAATAGTCGAAGCCACAGTGACCATGGTCGAAGCCGCGGTGACCACCTCAGAGGCAGCGACCTCAGTCGAGACCGAGGAGGAGTTCATGCTGTTGGCAGACATTTTTCTTTTCTCGTTAGGGCTTACTGGGGTGGAACGCAGGAAGAGTCTCTTGTTTAGTTAGCAGGAAGATCTTGGAAATGCTAAGTTTCTTGATGACTATAGGTTTTGGTGTCTATCCGAGCAGGCTTTAACAAGATGTAGGGTGACGAAGAAGAAAAACTATAACGACCGGCACAGAGGAGAAGTTGATGAAGTAGAAAAGCTAAAAAGGAAAGTTTTGCGGGGCATGCGTATGAATTCAGTCTGTGAATTTGGGGAAAGCAGGCGTTTAGGATGTATTTCGTCTAGAGATCGACCCAAGCTAGGAAATGCCAAGCCATCCCTCGTCACGCAGAGCACGTGCCAGACGTATTTGCTCTCAAGAACAGAAGGCTCTCTCCGCATTATATCCACTCACAAAAAATGCGCTATCAGATCTACTATCCACCCTTGATCTTCGTTTTCACAAACTCATCGGGTATCTCTGATCTCACGCGGGTGATCATGTAATATATTCAGAGGGAAATAGATCAAGTCGTAGCCAGGGATCTTTGTTTCTCTGTTTACCGAACAAGAGCGTACTAGATCTGTAGATCCGACCATCAAGAAGATCATTCTGTTTCAACAAGATCCATGATCACACTACAACTGTGACTGAGACTGACATCTTCGATACTGACATCTTTGATACTGGTGAGGCATACTCTTTATATTTCCCCTCTCAGCGTCTGTGTATTTTCTATTCTTCTCTTTTCATCTCCATGGAGGACCTCTGTCTCTCTTCTCTTCTCCCTCTCTCTCTCCAGATATAACATTTTCATCTCGTTGCCTCCACTTCTTCAATCATTCCAGTAAAACCCGCATTAGCGACGGCTTCAGCAAACAAGGGAAGAGAAAGTAAAGCTGAAAGGCGTCGGCCTTAGAGACGCTGCGCTTAATGTACTATAATTTTTCAGCGTATCATGTGTATAAGCCATATTAGCTTCATATCTGGCGGACGCTTCATTTATACACCACCAGGATAAGGTTTCTGGATACTGATGGCATCCACAACTTTCACGTCGAAGGTTTTTTGAGTGTGGACCTTATCAGCATCGATTCCAAGAGTTCCAGCGAATTAATTCTAGGCGCTCCTATGTATAGATTCTTTATCTATTTTGATAGGATATACTTCTTCTTCTTCTGGCCCTAGCTACTGGTACAACGATCTAGCACGAACTCATAGTACATTCTTACTTATGGTATTCCTTTTGTTTCCTGTTTGTAGAACAAGATGAAAAAGTACTGGTATCACATCACTCAAGTTCCCATTTGTTCATCTTCTTGGAAAAGCGATTTAAGTAGTTCTTCATTATGTGTTGTACGACTTTACGACCACTCAATACTTGATAATATCTTTTTACTTAGAAACTACTTTTCAAAAAGTACCTTCATCCCCTCATCGATCCAAAACTAAATATTTTTCCCAAAACGATTCAAAACAAATATTAGGCCGCACCGACATCATGTTAAGCAATGTCCGCTCGTAGTAAACTTTACTTCCAGAAGAGAAACAAACGCGATCAACTCAAGTGGGCCGAAGTTGTTATGTTGGCAACCATCTTCCAACTTAAGTAATTATTGTTTAAGTATTATAACGCGTTCTTGTAATCTGCTTCTGCATCTTCTTTCAACTTTTAACTTCATCAACAAGAACTTAGTACAAGTACATCACTTGTGATCATAAGTACTCTACTCTTGGTACTGCTCCATCTACTCACATTCACAAATCCGCCTTCACCGCCAATACTCGAAACACGCGAATGTTCGCCACAACGCCCTTTTCCCATCCATCCTTGATCAATTCTGGGTTCTCCTTCAAGGCTCCTTGGACCGCGGTCGGCACTTTAGCCGGCTCCACGAAATGCGCCTTTACAGCTTCAATGTCATCAAAAGCGTCCAAAATCGCAAATTCTTCTGGGTCTTCTTGATTCTGCACTGCTGCCCAAAACGGGGTACCGGATTCGTGCTCTTGAACAAGGCCGAGGCCAGCAAGTAAGAGTCCCTTGACATTTTCGACTTGGTCTGCGGAACCAGCTTTGAAGGGGATGTAAGAAACGAATTTAACTTTCTCAAGCTTTTCCTGCTCGTTTTTCGGAGCAGCAAGTAGTTTCCAGCCTTTAGCAGACGCCACAATGGCGTCCAAACCGCCCTTTACAATCGGTTCTTCACTCTCATCGTTAGCTTTCACGGCCTTGGGGACTTCACCACCGAAATGCGCTGCTTTCGCTTCATCATTTACGAAAAAATCAATGATGCCAAACTTCTCATTGTTCTCTTCGGGAGTGAGCTCTTGACCTAGTTCCTTAACCGGAAAATGCTTCAGGCCAAACCACAATTTGGTTCCGGGTTCAGTCTGCTTTACAGCGTCACGGGCAACAGTCATAAAGCCAGCTGCATCATTGATCTTGCCAGGATTAGCGGAAAACTCAATAGTCGAAGCCACAGTGACCATGGTCGAAGCCGCGGTGACCACCTCAGAGGCAGCGACCTCAGTCGAGACCGAGGAGGAGTTCATGCTGTTGGCAGACATTTTTCTTTTCTCGTTAGGGCTTACTGGGGTGGAACGCAGGAAGAGTCTCTTGTTTAGTTAGCAGGAAGATCTTGGAAATGCTAAGTTTCTTGATGACTATAGGTTTTGGTGTCTATCCGAGCAGGCTTTAACAAGATGTAGGGTGACGAAGAAGAAAAACTATAACGACCGGCACAGAGGAGAAGTTGATGAAGTAGAAAAGCTAAAAAGGAAAGTTTTGCGGGGCATGCGTATGAATTCAGTCTGTGAATTTGGGGAAAGCAGGCGTTTAGGATGTATTTCGTCTAGAGATCGACCCAAGCTAGGAAATGCCAAGCCATCCCTCGTCACGCAGAGCACGTGCCAGACTTATTTGCTCTCCAGAACAGAAGGCTCTCTCCGCATTATATCCTCTCACAAAAAATGCGCTATCAGATCTACTATCCACCCTTGATCTTCGTTTTCACAAACTCATCGGGTATCTCTGATCTCACGCGGGTGATCATGTATATTCAGAGAAAAATAGATCAAGTCGTAGCCAGGGATCTTTGTTTCTCTGTTTACCGACCAAGAACGTAGATCCGACCATCAAGAACAAGATCCATGATCACACTACAACTGTGACTGAGACTGACATCTGCGATACTGACATCTTATTTGATACTGACATCTTTGATACTGACATCTTTGATCGCCTCCCAACAAATGGGATGATTATGAGAAGGAATGATCGTCGTCATCGTAGTACTTGTCCGTTCGTACGAAAGAACATTTAGAAGGACTTAATGTTGATTGTTCATTGGTCATGATACTGATAGTACGCGAGTCACATAAAAAACGTAAGTCTCAGTGGCGATATCAAGAAGAAGGAAGATGAGCCAACACAACCAAGAAAGCAGATGTTTTTACGTAAGGATCTACGTCTGTGGGGTTAGAACGAAGATCCCCTAGTTGATGTCACTTGTGGAAAATTTGAGAGGTAGTACTAGAATCGACCTGCGAGACGAAACTCAAGCTGGCCTGGAATAGGACGATTCGGGCCTTCTTTACAACCGCAATCAAAGGGCCTCAAAATAAACCTTTCGATAAAAAAAAGAAAACTCATCATGACGCTGATGGTGAAGGCTGGTCTTAAATAACAATCTCCATCTCTATATCAAATGAAAACCGCAAGAAGAAGAGGACTCGCCAGGCTTCTAGCTACATTTTTGACTGTCTTGCTTTACCCAATTTCACTGCTTCGCGGACACTCAAGTCCAACAGGATTTCCTCACTTCCTCCAGGAATCGCATAAGCCCTGACATCGCGGTATAAACGTTCGACCTTTTCTCCCAAGCCGCTTTTCGTATAGGCGTTGCCACCAAAAATTTGAGAGGCCTCCCTGGCACAGTATTCCATGATCTTGCTGGAATTCACCTTCGCCAATGCCAATGTGCCACCAAGTTCTTTCTGTGCGACGTCAAACGGCATTTGGCACATTTGAAACGTCAGATCTGTGGTGGTGGATGATGAGATGAAGACGATGAGATCCATGGTTGTAGAATTTTTGCGAGACTCCTCTAATTATCCATGAAAATAACAGTCTCGTCCACCAGCAAAGATGTCTGAAAGTTTCCCATCGATCTCATCTCACCCCGAAAAAGATTGTCTACGAAACCAAATCTAAAAACCGCAGTACTTTCGAGCCAATGGTGCATCGATTCGACTTGGCGTATCATCTCTGCTAGCTTCCATCGGATAACAGGGTGGTCCACGAGCTTTTTTCCGAAGGTCATTCGTGAGATTAGAGAGAGGAAAATCTTTCTCGTTGTGGGCTTCGTTTTCCAATATAATCCATATCCCTATTCTGCTCTACTATTTTATTCCATTCCCATGACTAGCCGTTTGCGTATCCTCTATCAAGAATTCAGTCAACTGCTGCACTACAACTTGTTTGTGTAGTATGGTTACTTCTCTCCAAGAAGGTGAAGGACGTTACCTACGAGTAGTATGATGGAATTGGAAAGGTACTGAGAAATAAACACTTAGCTTTTCGTTGTACTATGCAGAAGAAAGTTGTGATGGTAGCTTGTCGTTGTAATATGAGGAAAAAATTGTAGGCCATAACTTCAAAGCGTACTTCTGTGATTCTTCAACCAAATCTCTAGAAAAGCGGTTCGCCTGGATCACAAAGCCCCATCGCTCGTGGTTGAAATTCTTCATGATCACCTGGAATTAGAGCTCAAAACATTTCATTTCTTCCCTTTACTTCTGATAAGTGAACAGGCCAACGCCTAAACCACTAAGCCAACTGCTACTTCTGATAAGTGAACAGGCCAACGCCTAAACCACTAAGCCAACTCTTAGTGGTTTAGGCGTTGGCCTGTTCACTTATCAACTTCTTCAGAATTTCAAGAGGGAAACTCACTGCGAGAAATGAGAGAGTCGTGGAAGTGCAATATATTGAGCCTTAATGGAAGCCCTCGTTTTCTTTGCCGATGATATTCGAACATGGAACTTTCACATTATCAAATGTCACGAAGGTCGTTCCTGAAGGATGCACTCCCTGGCAGTCCATTCGTCTTGTCGCAACACCAGGCATCGTTTTTTCGATTGTGATTAGAAAATAGAATAACGACCGGATAAAACCACCCTGTTCTTCCTTGTACTCTTGTTATAGCTTGCTTCTCTACTAAAAAAAATAGATTTTTATAAACAAGACGTTCTGTCTCTGTCTCTGTCCTCTCCGCGTCCGCTAAGTAACAACATAAATAAAAATAGCCAAAATCCAAACTATTGAGAAAACATGCCATAACAAAAGCATCGATATTCCCCTCATCCCTGGACCACCTGTGCGGACGGCTACTGTAAAATAATCCGCGAAGATGCCATTCGTGATCCACTTCTTTTCACCGTTGACAATGTAATGGTCACCCTCCTTCTTTGCACTGCACTTGATGTTCGCGACGTCGGAACTGGTTGCGATGGAAGTCGGAGAATGAGGCCTACGAGAAAAAGTACCAACGACGCACACGAGGCAAAATGTTAAAATCACGACATGACCACAAATTCAAGCTGAAGCTGTAAAAATGTTGATTACCCCGCTCCCGGTTTCGTATGAATGAAGGGTAGAAGGAACTGTACTCGCAAGTAGTCTTCAACATTGATATCTAAGATTTCTTGTCTAAACGTCTAGTACCCTGCCCCCGGTTCCGTAATCGCCAGGCAGATAATCTTGTCACCCATGAGACAGGGCTTGCAGACTTTGTCCTGTAACGCCTTGGACCCAAAGTTGATGATTGGCGGCAGCCCGATCTGGAGGCCTTCGACGATGCCCCAAAGGGTCCCTCCAGACGCACATCGCGCTAACTCGTCCACGAATATCAGTTCGTGAAAGTAGTCATAGCTGATGTGTAGGTTGGAGATGACGGTCCTATTGCTATTGATTCTCAGCTTTGTATGATGGTATTGGTTCTCAGAATCATGATGGTATCGGTTCTCAGAATCATGATGGAAGTGGTTCTCAGAATCATCATGGTATTCTGAGTATGACGATGGTGGTATTGGTTCCTCTGCTAGACAATTCTCGTAGCAGATTGCAATGAAATCATTTGACGCAGGAAGTTAGCGAATCAAGCCAGTAGGCGTAGCTCGAAGCCGCAAGAAATTGAATGAGTAGAAACTACATCTATCTTGAGGGAACAAGTAATAAAATAAAAGCATGATGTGCATCCCTTTCACCTTAACAACAACATAAAAACTACAAGCTTAAAAAGTACTCTTTCGGTTTCTCGCAGTCGACGAAATCAAAACCCCTGACGCCGACAACACAAGGTATAAGCCCAGCTTCATAGGCCTCCTTGTAGACGTGCTTTGGGATCGCCTTTTCCTTTTGTATGAAAGTGTGCGCCTTTTCCTTTTGTATGTGAAGAAAGTATGTGAGTACATCTGGCTTCTAACATGTACTTAATTCTAATTTCTTGTTAGCATGACAAGTTGCATGGAATTATAATATAGCTACGGAGCTACTGCGCGGAGCTAGGTACTTACGCAGAAGTATGCTCTGCGCACTATATCTGTTAGACCTTCAGGGAATCCATCTTGAAGGTCATCTTCGGCCCGTCTTTCCCTTACGCGGGAGGTCCAAGATGCTTCTGAAGATGGATTTCCGGAAGTCATAAATATGCTCTACGTAGACTTATAGTATGCCAGGTACTTACAGGTTGTACTTAGTATGTGTATGCTAGGTACTTATACAGGTTGTACTTAGTATGCTAGGTACTTACAAGTTTCACCTACTTGGATAGCATTTTGATTAGCTTCTACTTCATAATCTCCCAATCGCTCACGTTCGGCAAAATCTTGTCCTCCACGAAGTCTCGACATCTCTTACGCCAATCCAGATGGGTTTGCTTGTAGTATTAGCGCTCACCCCAATCCATCTCGCAGATCATCCCAACATCGATCCCCTTTTTTTGTAATCTCTTTTATTTTTCTTCAACGTTCACTCTTTTTTGAACTAACATTCAAAAAGTTTTGAAGACGGCTCAACGATGCTTGTGGAGACGGATTAGGAGAAACCTTAATAGTACGGCGACCGATAGTTGGAGGAATACCAGTTGGGTTCGCAATAGGGCAGATGATTCCCAAACACTTCTCCACCACTGGTTGGAGCGGACATTTTTTGCTAGAGAAATGAAGTGCCAGTGGTTTTTGTTCCTTTCTTAGGTGCTTGCTACTTGAGAAATGAATGTTGTTCTGAAATCAGGAGAACCAGAGAGACGAGTTGTCTTGAAGACAGATTGATGCAATTGTTTGGTGTTGATGTTGAAAATTCGAGAAAGCCAATACCAAGCAGCAAGCATTGACTTATCTCCAACGATGCTGATTCAACGATTCACTAAGATGTTTGTCGAGGCGTCATAAGATGAAACCCAGGTACTTATCATGCCTTTACAGAGTAGAGAGTCGAGGAAATGAAGACTGAAAGAATGCTTCCTGCTTCCTACCACGTACTCCTACCTTGATTGGGGGAAAAGATAGGAATAGAAAGTTGTTCCACAGTAGTCCATGAATGTTTCTTGGGGGAAAAAGAAGAAAAACCACCACTTATTGTAATCTGCGGGGCAAAAAAAAAGGGAGCAAGATAAATTATATGGAACAAAAAATCGAGGATTGTTGTAGGAGAAACAGATCATTTTCAGCTCTGTGGCTCCAGGCAACATCGTACTGCACTGCTCCTCGTCACTCAACATGGTAGTCCCTCTCGCGTTGAATGATCCCACTCTCGTCTTGAACAATACCTCCAAACAACAACGCAAAAATAAACAATACAAGAAGAAAATGAGTCTCGCACGAAGCACCGTAACCATACGATACAATCTACCGATTTTTCACCGCTGGAAGGACCTGCCATGGCTATAGTGAGGAACAAAGGAAAAACAAAGGAAAACATGCTAGGTTAGGTTACCTCGCGGAAGGAAAGGAAACACACTCCTAGACCTTGTCTATGTCATGTCATGATGCCTCGTTTTACGTGTTTGTTTAACGCTATAGAGGCCGTTCAGCCACCTTGTACCTTCTGAATCGAAGAGCAAGATGACCGAGCGATAGACTACACGCCCGGAACACATACAAACAAGCTGGTCGCCAGCCTCATGGCATGCGGACAGAGATCAGCGTCAACACGACACACAGCGGCAGGTCACCTTTTCACACAGGAGGTCACCTTCCTTCTCACATCACATCTTGAGAACTTCTGATAGAAAGCTATAAACTTAAATCATTCTTTCAATGCACGTTTACGACTGAATTTGCTTTTCATTTTTCTATGCGAGGCTTCTTGAACATCATGGAGGATAGAAGATCAGTTAGACATTCTTATGCATCCAGGATACTTAATCACAAAAAGTTGTTCTTCACAAAATCACAGCATTTGTAAGAGGACATAAATATGCATTTTGATATGCTGAAACAAATGTGTGTTACAATTACAATTACAAATTTTTCGAATAGTTCGACGCACCAGCAGCGGTGTGAGGACTCTCTGTGTCGTGCAGGTGATATTCCCCATCTGTGTCCTCGTGCAAGTGATATTAAGCGTGAAACCGCAACCTCTGTCTTCGTTCAACGTAGAAATCATACAATTCGCTAAACCCTAACCCTAAACCCTAAACCCAACCCTAAACCCATACAACTCTTGAAGTCATATGGTTCTATGAACCCCAGCAGCTAATCAGTAACCTGTAAATAATGTTGATGAACCGAGGAAGGCCAAAGATCAGCTAGTCAGTAACCTGTAAATAACTCATACTAGGATAGGTTGGCAAACTTCAAAAATTGTTGTGCCTTTCTGGTTGCTTTTTCTATACGGGCAATAGTGAAGAAGATACTCAATCAAGTTTAGGAGGTCTTTAGCTACTTCACGACCCAAGTAGTAGACTTCATAATTCCACACATACATCACGAGCGTGAAGATGTACCAGGAACGCAGGAAGATAGACCTCGACACACTACCACGCGCTCGAAGAGGATCTACAACTTTTCTGCCAGTTGCCACTACATCGTTGTACTACAAGATCTCGTTCTCTTTCTCCAGAGACTACTCTTGTCATTTCTCTTCTTTTCTACTGTAGTAGTGGTCATACATAGTGTATAGAAGAAAAAGTTACAAGAACGCAGGATACACCTGATCACATTTCTTGGTGCAGTCCTGCGGCGTCAAGCCTTTAAACTGCTCTCCCATACCAGCCATCCCAAACCGCTGACACATCACGCGGCACTGATGGTTCGTCATTTCACCCTAAGATTTAGAGGATACACGAACCTGTTGGAGGTCGATGATACAGGAAGACGTGGAGGTCGATGTTGTAGAGGATGATGAGGAGGCTTTCTCAATGTACTATCTGGTGTTGTGGTCAGATCGTGTGTCTAGCAAGTAGGACTTAACTAAGTACATCATTCATTCATTCATTGGCGACGTCGGCGGCCCGATAATCAGGCTTTTTGGCCGTGTCACGACGGTCGTGCCTACTCGAGTGAGGCCGAGTAGCATTTGCATTTGCATTTGCAAATACATCAAGGAGCATTTGCATTTGCCTTAATCTTCGCGTGTGATTCTTCGAGTGCCACCTTCTTGTCTTCGGCACTCTTCTTGCTTTCGCTCTCCTTCGATTCCTTGCCAGCCTTTGGCTCATCCTTGTCATGAGCCATGATGACGCGAATGTTGCTACTCGCGTCTTCCGCCTCCTTTGAGTGCCCCTTGGTCGCCCTCTTGGTGTGCTTTTATTAGAAGATCATCAAACACGAGCGACTACGTCCTCGTTGTCCTAGGTATTCACATATCTCAGTAACCAACAAGGTAAAAACAAACCAACATAGTTTACATCCAGTTCGTTGCCTTAATTCTTGCTGTGCGTCTTCCCTGTCTTGCCGGTGGACACGTTCATCTCCAGACTGCTCGTCTCTGCTTTCTTGACTCTCTTCGGAGTTTAGAAGTTCAAGAGCTAGATGATAATTTGGATCTACTCGGCAAAATGCCTAACTAATAGCTACATAACAAGCAGTGCTTTTTAGTGCTTACTCTTACTGGTGAAGACATTCTAAATTTCATTAGGCTTATTACCTTTATACTTTCACTTTTATTCACGCTATATACTTCTACTTTTTATTCACGCTCAACAATTTAACGCTTAGAACGAGGAAGCTCCGTTCTTTCACATCACTTCAACGACGACAACATATGTCCATAATGGCTACCTTTCTTTTTCAAAGACGAATACTTGTGGGAGTGGTGCTTTCCCTTCATGTGCTTCTTCTTGCCAGCAGAGAGTGCTGCAGAGGACTTCTTACCCGTCTTACGCTTTTGTCCGATCATGGAAGAAATGCCCTCTTTTTCAGACGAGGACTGCTCTTCTTCCTCCTTCGAGATAGAGTCCTTGCTGAAAAGCACTTTCATGTCCTCGGAAGACTTCTTGTCCTCGGAAGACTGCGACTTCTTGGTGTGAACAGAGGTACTAGATTTTTCGGAGGACTCCTTCTTGGAGGACGTGTGTGACGAGGACTTCTTGGAGGTCTTTGCAGCACTACTAGAGTGGCCTTTCTTCTTTTCCTCTGAAGAAGAAGCAGACTTCTTTTGCATGAGTGCTTCTTCGTCTTCCGGTGACCTACTGAAGAGCACCTTCATGTCCTTCATGTCACCCTTCTTCGTCGTACTACTCTCTTCAGATTTCTCCGCGACTTTCTTCACCTGCTCGCTGCTCGTTTTCGACTTCTTCGAAAATTTCTTCTTCGAGGACTTTTGGTGCATCAAAGTACTAGATTTCTTGCCATTCTTCTCATGCTCCTCCGCTGTCTCAACGATGATGTGGGCTGGGGCCTCACCCTTGGACTTTTTCTCTTCTTCCTTTTTCTCTGCTTTCGTATTTAGAGCTTAAAATAATCATTCAACAAATGTCCGAAGCAGTATATATTTTCTCGAGATGGATTAATTAATTTCACTTAGCGGAAAATTAATTGAGAAAGTGGAGGCGAGTTATATCGTGAGCCTTAACTTCTCGTCGGTTTTCTTCTCTTCTTTCTTGGTCTCTTCCTTCTTCTCAGAAGATGACCTTTTGAACGAATCCTTGCTTTCTTCTGTGCAACATTAGAGGGCCGACGAGAGAGCGGAGGCAAGAGGATAGAAGAGAGATTTCATCACATTGATGACGTGTTTCAACTTCAAGGACAACTGCTTTCCAATTATTGAGCTCAAATCTAAATTATCTAAAACTAAATCAGTACAACAAACATGACATATGCAGCTACTAGTCGTAGACTATGAGTCTCCGGTGGTAAACACGCTCTTTCTAGATGAACTGATTCTCATTTTACGAATGTCGAACACTCCTTCCAGAGGGCAACAAAAAGGAAAAACTGATACTCGCTTTGCCATAGGCCTTCCTGTTCAAAAGCGCTCTTGCCCGACGGCTCTTCGGTGTCGACATGCGATCGTCGATGAAGATGCTCAGTTTCTTCGAATCCTTCTTCTTCATTTCTGCAGTTCTCTTATTAGAAGAGCTCAAATGAGCTTTGAGCCAACAGTGGAATGAATTGTCATCAGTTCGGGACAGTATTTCAGATACAACCTCCCTTAATTCTACTCTTCTTGGACGACCCCTGCTTGACGAAAAGCTGCTTTTTCTCCTTTGGCTTGCCCTCTGAGAGGAAGCCGATCGCGGTCGCCTTCCCATCCTCCACTTTCACCTCCGTACCTACCTCTTCGTTCGTACTTTGAGGTTGAGCCTCTGCCATTGCTGGATTCCCCACTGCTGGCGCCTTGTGGTCTTAGAGTTGTGGGCTTATAATTCCGAATCTGGATTTGAACCTATAATGCCGACATGGTCTATATAGGGTTTAGGGTTTAGGGTAGGATACTTAGCAGCACAGGATAGGGTTAGCCATGACTTCGCCGTCACACAAGGGTCGCCGTCACACAAAGATCGACATCCTCGTTAGATTACTTTAAATTACTAGAGTAACAAGCCCTCTTATCTTACACTTCTTTGTGAAACGACCTGTGTTCTTTGCCCTAATTTTCTTCTTCCATCTGTGCATCTTCATCCATCTCTGCGTCTTCTGTCTCTGCCATATCTTCTGCCTCGTCCTCCTCTGCAAGCTCCTCAGCGTCGAGATTCATTCGAGTGGTTTCTTCAAAACGATCACCTATTCTCCAACCTCGTACTTGTATTGGTTGCAAACACAGGAAAATAAAAAGTGCTATCAACCTACTAGAGAAACACATCTATGATCTTAGAAGGACACATGCACATGGCGAAAGAACAAAAGGTGAAGTACACTTCACATCGAAGGAACATCAAAGGGCTAAAGAGGAACGAAGTACTTATATTTCTCGGAGCAATTGCGGATTTGGATTGAAAAACTAAAGCAAAACAGCCATAATTCTTCATCATGCCCCTCGTCTACTTCATTTCCCTCTTCATTCAGTTCGGCGTCATCCTCAGCGTCAGCAACTTCAGATTCCTCTTTTTAGAAGAGCAATGCAAATTAATAAATACAATACAATCAAAGTCACGCTGTGTTCCTCGATCTACAATCAAACAAATCTTTTTCACCCACCTCTTAATCTTCCTCATCCGCTGTTAGAGCTTTGCTCTCGTCATCGTCGCTCAACTTCGCAACATCACGATGCCGAAACTCCGAAAAACTTAAACCGGTCACACCTGTCGTAATTACATGATTCTTCCTCAGGGCAGTACTACTTGATGAGAGATGATGATGTACTTAGACGAAAAAGAGATTGAGAGTGATCAGGGTAGTACTTGATGACTGAAGATAAGAGAGAGAGTGATCAGGGTAATTGTTGATGACAGGTGATGGTTGGGAAGTAGAAGTACCTTCAACGGCAACGCTTTCTAGCAGAAGCGCAAGCGCTCCACTCAGGAGAAGCATTTTGTTTTCAGAACTGACGAATGTTACTGTAGGTCAGGACTATGTGCAGAACAAGCTTGCTGACAACCACTATGTTCAGCCTTTGTTGCGAGGAATTTTCTCGGCGGAGAACGATACCAAAAATTTGCTACTTAACACAAATCGAAAAAATCTAAATAATCTAAAAAAAACCGAAAGATCTAAAAAAGCCAACGATAGGTCAAGTAAGCTCTAAAGAAAGACCATTTCTGAAGATCTAAATCGAAAAAACTCTAAAAATCTGAAACACCTGAAGAACCACATTTCCAAAGTCTAAAGATCTAAAAGTTTAGATCAGGTTTAGAGATAGATCAGGTCTAAGGGTAAATCAGGTCTATAACATCAAATCTCGAGATAGATCAAAAGAGAGGCATCTACAACATCTTTTGAACTAAAAAATCTACAGATCTAAAAACCTAAATAATCTAAAGATCAATCTAAAAGTCCACTGATTCGCTCTGTTAAGGGCTACGCAACACTCTTGTCCCGGAGCACCCAACAGCCAGTTGCAGTCGTCTTGATTCCTTTTTCATCACCCTATTTTCAAAATTCCGTTCTTTTCGCACCAGAAACCGAATAGAATAGACTTTGACAATTTCACAGGACAGAACCACGGGACAGTGAGGTCTCGCTCCTTATAGATATACGTCACTTTAGAGAGACAGATTCATTTTGCTCTCACACGGTGATGATGCCTCCGATGACGAAGAGAGAAGTTTTTTCTTCTATGCTCTCCGTAGGCATTCTAGCGCTTAGTCTCTTCCACCAGCAAGATGTCATCCTTTGCTTGCAGAACATCTGGACAAAATCACAGTTGTGCGCATGCTGAAATGGGCTGCTTTTGTCACCCTCCTGTGATACCCTGGGTATACTGTCGTCTCGGACGAGTGTTTTTCGTAAATCTATAATAAAATCTTCTAAGAATGAATCAGTGAAGCAGCCGGCCCTGCTAAAATAGAACAATGTTGAAATGTCAAGAAAAGTCTACCTCGTTGCATATACTACAAAGTCAGCACAAGACAAACGGTGACAGTGTGAAATCGTAATCGCGTATTTGGTAAAATGGATGCTAAAAAAAAGCTGTGAAAAATCTTCGCTAGCAAAAATTCTAGTTTCAGTAGCTGCACATCTTTCTCTTCAGTTACCAGATGAACTTCTTTTCCCACCTGTCCCTATCCGTGGTTTCTACGCTCCAGCAACAGCCGCGTGCCGCTTCATCGCCACCTTTTCGCGCAACAAAGCTTTCTTTTCTTCGAATCTTAGAGAAGGAAACGTACTACGGATGAATCCAAAAGAAGTGCAAAATCCTCTGCTGGACCTCGTTTGCTTTCCGAACTCAGGATGTACACCTAAAAGTCGTCACACGCATCTAAAAGTCATGCAACTAGAAGATCTACAGGTTATATAATATCCGTAAACCTCTACTAAGATTCACAATTCATAACTCGTATTCTTTTCGGATCTCTTCTTCTCGCCACATCGCTGCCTCCTTCAACTCCCTTTCCCGTTTAACGGCCCTGCGCAAACCGCCTTGAGCATCCTTTAGACTCTGAGAAAGCCGGAAAATGCTGTCCGCATGTTGCTTCGCATAGAGTTAGAAGAAACAATCCCTGGGCTGCTTCTAATCACGACGATGAGGAAATGAAAAGTTGAAGATTGACTGCACGTGTAAAACCTACATCACAACATGTTCTAATCACGACGATGAGGAAATGAAAAGTTGAAGATTGACTGGACGTGTATACTTCTACTTGTACAACTCATCAGAAACCGTCGTGTGGTATTGTAGTACTAAGTACGATGATCTCACAAGACCATCATGATCAGCTCGTCACTGTGTGTTGACATGTGATTATTACAGGATCCGAAAGTATTATCGAACAACCAAAGAATGCATGGAGAAGATTTTTACGATTGCTATCACTGAGTCTACAAGCATAACTTTGCCTAGCCGAGGCCAGTTGCTCTTGGAGGTCTTGTATCCGCATCAACAAGGGCTCTTGGGCTTCTCATATTAGATGAGAAGAGGTTGGAAAGAAGTAGTTATGAAGAAAGCTATTTGTAACTACACGTACACGATTGTTGTTTCATTCGTTCTACTAGATCGAATGGACGAGAACCACAGCTCTTTTCGAGACGAGACTCCCAGAATGACGTCTGCTTATCCACTACTGCACTTGTCAAGCATGCTTCATGTAGGTCGTGGCCTTAAGGAAAGTTTGCTTCTCTCGGTGACTAACGCAGCGGCGGAGGAGGCTAATCCGGCTTCGCGAGCGGCAATGTCGGCGATTCTGAAGGAAGGATTGAGTTTGGGAAATGAAATTTAGCTGAGTACGTTGATCTATGCTGACGTTATGAAAACAATGGAAGTGGTCAGCTCCAAGATATACAAATTTGAGTTCAACATCATTATCGCCGCGTCAATGAAAGCTATACTTCCTGTCTTTGTCCTCTTCCAGTGCTTTTGCGCGCTCCGCAATGGCTCTGCACTGTAGATCTAGCCAGTACTGGGCTGCACCCTGATCCCTACCTGATGTTAAAGCATGTGTGTTTGTTCGAATTTCATCTCAATACCCGGTCGTGTTTGATTCCAATCAGTGTATCTGAGTGCATCAAAATCAATACCTCGCACTTCCTTGTACTTAAATACCTACTCATCCGGTAATCTTCGCTCTAGTACTTTTGTAAGGAGTATTTCACAACTGCAACTCTGTAATGCTTTTCTCCATAATGGTGGGCAGACGAGCTGCGATGCTCCGTCAGCTCCGGCCGACTCCGAATGATGAAAGAGAGATGAACCATTATACAATACGATACAATTAATCTCGCACAAAGTTCAGTGCAGACTGCCTCAATGAGGCAGAGAGAATTTGAAAGATCATCAAACGACCCGAGAAACTACATCGCAAATACTTAAGAGATACTAGTAGTAACCTGAGGGAGAGATGGCTTGAGGCTCTCTCTTACCTCAGGACAAACCCAGGATGTCCACCCAGGATGTCCGCCAGTGAGGGAGAGGTATCGCAAAAAATAAAACTAAAAGCTTACATGATCATGCTAAGTTCATACAAGGTGCAGGAAACAAATACTTCTTCTTCTCTCATCCATAACAATAAGGTGTTGGTATTGCAGACGTTGAGGTCTTCACTGAGGTCTTCGCAGACGCAGCTCGTTCGCCTACTGAAAGCGTTCCTTGCAGCTTCCTCACTATCGCAGCTCTGTCGTCTACAACTTTGAGATGAGAGTCTTCATTCTCTTTCTTCCCTACCTCATCTTCTAGTTGAGGACCCTCTCTCCCTCTGTCTGCTACTACCTGTGCCTCGTCTAGTACTTTCGTGTCTTCTACCTTCTCCCCTACTTCGTCTTTTACCTTGTTGTCCCCTACTGCTTTCAAAGCCGCCCCTTGTGTATCTACGCCCTCTATTTTTGCCTCTGCGTCTTTTGCCTTGAAGATCATGTTAGGCGGTTCGGATCGGGCGCTTGCTTGTTTTCCCGTACTTTTGGCATGATAGTCAACAAGCTTCCTCGACAAGAGCTCGCCTGCTTTATCCAAGTCTTCCCTATACCCTGGCCACATCTTCCTCACAGCCTCTGACGATTCTAGGAGCTCCCTCATCAACGACCAGTTCCTCTGCCATCTTGGGGCCATGCGAGCGGTTGATATTAGAAATAAAGAGATCAAGACAAGGATCAAGACAAGACGTGGACAGATTCCCAAGATGTTAAAATAGATTGAAGTAGGTTAGGTTAGATAAGGCAAGACGTGGACATGAGAACAGATTCCCAACATTTAAAGATTTAGATTGAAGTAGGTCTTAGGCTAGATTATCAAACCTGCAGAATGCCCTTTGCAAACTACAACAATGAAGTAGAAACGACCTTTGAGTACGATGTCGTAATTCATTCGTAACTTACAATACACATCCACCCCTCCTGCGATAGCACTAGAGTAGTCTCGCCCGACAGCGTCGTCTAAGGCAATCCTTGCTACAAGCGCTAACGAGCGTCCCAACTCCAGGCGGTTCACTAGCTTGACCGGGTCTTCTAACCGCGTCACTACGTGTTCTAGCATCCTCTGGAAATTAGACTTCTCAATACATTCACCTCCTTCGTCTTTGGATTACTTACATTTTTTAGATCTATAGATTCGGAACGGAACTATTACATACTACTGCTTCCATCTTCCACCCTAACGCGTACGTCACATGATTCCTGAGTAGTTTCACTTTTCCCCGTTCGAGGGAACTCGAAATTCCAGCCATCCCACTCACTTTCTTCCATAGTTTCACCTTATTCCTCATCCTGTACTTAATCAGCTCCCTAATAAAGAGCACCATCTTGTTGATCTTCACTCTCCACGAGCCTTAAGTATTGAGCCCACATCCCGCTGGTCTGCTCCCCGTCGTTGCAATTTGTAGAGCTGAACACCAGGAACGCGCTCTTCAGCCGTAGATCCTCGAGTTAGAGGTAGGCTCTTGGTGTTCGTTTAGGCCCGCTTGTTCGTTTATCCCACCTAAGGAAGAGAGCCATATTATAACAAACGGTAACAAAAGCACCATTAACCTACCCTTAATAGAGTATTCCGAACTACCACCTGCACAGTGGAGTCGCCTTGAACGTGTACACCAAGGACTTCCCGTTCAGCACTCAAGTCGAAGCGGAGGCGAACTGTTTCACCCACTTCGAAATCTGTGTCGGTCAGGTAGGCTCGTCACATTAGAGGGAACCGCTACGGCTAGGTTTTTTTTTGATCTGTAAGTAACAAGTAGAAGCAGATTAAACCATTCAACGAACTAAGCCTCAGGCTTAGTTTCTCGTCATTTTTTCGGAAAAATAAAGCTCGACTTCAACCACGCATGCGCATCCATCTCCTTATACATAAGAAAATATGACTAGCAACTGCTTTTACGAAAGCAGAACTGCGCATTTGCATCGTCTCATTTTCACACCCAGCCAACGTCAACCCAGCACCAAATATCTGCTCTACTTCGGCTGCCGGAAAGGGCGACCGCGTTCTAAAAGCGGGATCCAACAATTGCTCCTGAAATCGCTTGAGGACGCGTTCGCGGACCAGTAAGGATTAGACACATCAAGCACTTTGGAGGTAGAGACAGAGATGGCAAGAACAGGATTACAGGTTCAAAAGTACAGAGGTCGTCTTGATGAAGAGATGATGATGATGAGGTGTCGACAGCATTGCATTCACTTGGTTGGTATACTAGAAAGATATGTCAGAAGCAGACACAGACTTAGATCGATGAGGTACTAATAATGAAGAGGACCACGTCAAAAGGCCCTAAAGTGATTTCGCATATGCCTCTGTTTTCCTTGCACTTGCTACAGCGGTGGCGTTGTCATTATGATTTTTCGCGATTCCCTTCTCCAGTGTTGCTTTCGTCCTCTCGCTTGACTCCCTTGATGCTGTCGCACCCTGCACTAGTGGTAGTAGTTGCCGGGTGACTTCTTGGGCCTTCTTGTGAGAGCTATTTTCTGCCGTCCTTTTAAATTTGTTCCCAGAAAATGAACTTGCAATACAGGACCTCGTCTCCGCTCTATTCTCATCTAGCGCTGTTCTTGCAGAACTGGTCTCGTCTTGTTCTGGAGGTTTTGTCTTACCAGACCTGTGTCCAGACCTAGGACTACTCGTGCTATAACCCCTTGCCCCCACGCCGTCTATTCTCCATCCACTGCCAGCTCCTAATACTGTCCGTGTCCCCCCACCGCCAGAACTCCTACTTGATGTACTTGCTCCAGCACTAGTCTGACTACAGCTCGACGGCGTCGTTTCGTCTTCTATCGGCTCAGAGTCTGGAGTCTTCATCTCTTCGACTGTTTTTGTTCTCTCCCTACCAGCACCTGAAGCTGAAGCTGAAAACGTACTATAATATCTTCTTCCCAGGTCCCTTGGTTGGAGATGATATCCCTTCCCCTTTGCGCCCTTCTCTTGTCTTCTTCGTGAGTCACCTCCGTCTGGTTGTAGATATACCCTAACGTCTTTTCTTGCGACGCCAGGTGAAGACAACTGGAAGTCGCTATCTAGTTCTAGGTAATCGACTAATTCTTCACTACCTTTGCTAGAGATAGTAGAACTACTGCTCTGTGGAGCCAGGTCGTCACCGGGTGGTTGTAGGTAGTCGTAGTCGCCCTGCTTCTCTTCGTGTCCTATAACTCCACCTGGTTGAGGAAGGCTTTCTAATAGTATTCCAAAATCTGGTGCTGGTTGGAGGGATTTCTTATAACGCCATCTGGTCGGAGGTGCGTTTTTGTTCATCGCATCTTGTTCATTTTTACTCAAGATCGGAGGACTACTCGCGTTCCGCGTTGGCTTTTGTCCCCCTTTGCTAGAGATAGTAGAACTACTGCTCTGTGGAAGCAGGTCGTCACCGGGTGGCTGTAGGTAGTCGTAGTCAACCTGCTTCTCTTCGTGTCCTATAACTCCACCTGGTGGAGGAAGGTCGCCTCCGTCTGGTTGTAGATATACCCTAACGTCTTTTCTTGCGACGCCAGGTGAAGACAACTGAAAGTCGCTATCTAGTTCTAGGTAGTCGACTAATTCTTCACTACCTTTGCTAGAGGTAGAACTACTGCTCCGTGGAACCAGGTCGTCACCGGGTGGTTGTAGGTAGTCGTAGTCGACCTGCTTCTCTTCGTGTCCCAAAACTCCACCTGGTGAAGGAAGGCTTTCTAATAGTATTCCAGAGTCTGGTGCTGGTGAGAGGGATCCCTTGTAACGCCATCTGGTCGGCGGTGCGTTTTTATTCATCGTATCTTGTTCATTTTTGCTCAAGATCGGAGGACTACTCGTGTTCTGCGTTGGCTTTTGTCCCCCTTTGCTAGAGATAGTAGAACTACTGCTCTGTGGAAGCAGGTCGTCACCGGGTGGTTGTAGGTAGTCGTAGTCAACCTGCTTCTCTTCGTGTCCTATAACTCCACCTGGTGGAGGCAGGTCGCCTCCATCTGGTTGTAGATATACCCTAACGTCTTTTCTTGCGACGCCAGGTGAAGACAACTGGAAGTCGCTATCTACTTCTAGGTAATCGACTAATTTTTCACGTCTTATAACTCCGCCTGGTTGGAGGAATTTCTTGTAACGCCATCTGGTCGGCGGTGCGTTTTTATTCATCGTATCTTGTTCATTTTTACTCAAGATCGGAGGACTACTCGTGTTCCGCGTTGGCTTTTGTCCCCCTTTGCTAGAGGTAGTAGAACTACTGCTCTGTGGAAGCAGGTCGTCACCGGGTGGCTGTAGGTAGTCGTAGTCGACCTGCTTTTCTTCGTGTCCCAAAACTCCACCTGGTGAAGGAAGGCTTTCTAATAGTATTCCAAAGTCTGGCGCTGGTGAGAGGGATCCCTTGTAACACCATCTGGCCGGAGGTGCGTTTTTATTCATCGTATCTTGTTCATTTTTACTCCAGGTCGCCGGCGGACTGCTCGCCTTCTGTTCTTCTTGGCTGGAGGAGGTAGAACTACTCGTAGTCTGTTTTTGTTCTCCTTTGCTAGAGGTAGTAGAACTACTGCTCTGTGGAAGCAGGTCGTCACCAGGTAGTTCTAGGTATTGCCGAGCCACCCGCTTCTCTTCCTCTTTACCCCAGGTCGGAGGACTACTCGTATTCTGCTTTTCATTTTCTTCGCCAAGCGTAGTGCTGCTCGTATTCTGCTTCTCCCTTTGTTCTCCCTTGCTAGAGGTAGAACTACTGCTCGACGCCTTTATTTCCGTTTCTCTTCGACTAAAAGATGTAGTTGCACTAAGACTAGTCCTCGCTTTTTTCTCGACCTCCCCTCCCCTTTTTCCACGAGGCGGCGCACCATTCGACTTTGAAGGCGTTCCAAACATCATCTGTGCCAGCTCCCCATCTTCTAAAACTTCCCTAACAGAAGGCAGTTTCCTGTAGTCAGTTTTCTTGAGTACAGCACTGTCGAAAACATTTTCCACTCCTGATGTTCTCGTAGGATAAACGACCAGAGGCTTGCTCTTGCCTCTCGACTTTATTAGAGTCGCCAGAAATCCAAGCATTTCGGGAGCGTCTTACTTCGTCTCCGTTTTCTCTTTTTAAAAAAAACGGACCAAAAATCAACATCTTCTTGGATTTATGAACGCTGTCTTAAGCCTAGTGGCGCAGCGTCTGTGGTCGTGCCACCTACCCTTGCTTCTCTGTTTTCTCCTGTCGCGACCTGCCTTGCTGTTTCCGAGAAAGTGCCTGAATCCGCCAAAGCTAAAGTAACTGTGCACAAGTCCGCCATCGACATGGTGTCGACCCATCGAAGCAGATACTCCTGTACTAGCTTCCCGTAAGTATATGGAGCGTCAGCGAACGAGAGGGGTCGTAAACACTCCGCGAGAGAGTCGGTGAATTTAGAAGACTAGCATACGCCAGCATGTAGTCTTCTGCTGAAATTGAATCTTCCAAAAGCCGAAAGCTTCTGAAGGAGGGCCGCAAAGTCTTCTTTTGTAAAATCGACTACACATGATCATGAGTATCTTCATGATAGTATCTATCAAAAGCCTACTACTTCATCTTCTATAACAATTATTAACTTAATATAAATTCTCACTATCAAAGAAGGAAAATGCTCTCCTGATGCTCTCCTGCAACATAAGAGGCACGCGCAAGAAGCGTTCAGCAAGCTCAACAGACGAGGTGGAACCAGAAGTCTTCTTTTTCCTCCCCTCTCCTTGCAGACCAACAAGTTCTTCTAGTCTACAAGTAAGAAGTCGCAAGATTTCTTCTTGAGCGCCTTCCCCTTCCGCTTTCCGAAGCTGACACAGCCATTCTGCTTCATCGGGATTACTAGATCATTAGAGCAGCTCCTGTCATAACTGTTCATTTTTTAGGGCTAAACCCTAATCCCTATGCGGAGTGCGTATGTAGTACCCCTCTACTGTTATTGCTTCTCACTCGAAGATACATAGTCCCCCTTGCAGCCTGAAAGTGTCCCCCTAAAAGAATGACCACCATGAGTCAATATTACTTCTAGCCTTAAGACAATACGGCACTCTCTCGACATAGCTTCTCGCCGTCTACTTCGGCTGCCTTTAGCATCCTTTGCAATGCGTCTTGGTGTCTAGGTGTCACTGCGCTTGCTTGTCTTAGAAAATACAAAGGTCGATAGATTTCAGCATTCTTGTTACCTTGTGTCTTGGGGGTCGAGTCTATATCGGTCTACCCACAACAACAAGCGCAATGAATTGAAGCTCTGACCATTAATACAACTGTTTGACATTTGACATCAACATTCTTGACAAGAACTCAAACCTACTAACCATGTCATGTCATGCCATGTCATGGTGCCTCTTGTGTCGCTATAAGCGTCTACCTGTGGGGTCACCCAGTAGTACAGCTCTGTATACACGACCTTATAATCTTCATAACACCATACTCTTCTTCTCGAATTCGTATTTTCTTCGCACTTGTGAGAGTTCCTCGCGAAGATCCTGTTCCCTTATTCTATGTTTCCAATCCTCCATACGCATACGCCATGAACTCTCAGAGGCACTTGTTTAGAGGTTACGGAGTTTTTACACTCTTCAGCACATAATTCATCCTGGCCTCTTTTCTACTAGGAAAAGAGTTAGGGATGGTAGTGAGGAATGCAATTCGGAACAAACCCATAATTATAATTTGTACTACGTTTACTAGTTGTCGTTGGTTTGGTTCCGGAAAGGAAAGAAGTTGCGCCAGCTGTGCTGCTACTACCAAAAGAAGTAAGTGGATCATTATTTTTCCCGCCACTGTTGTCACTGCTTTCTGCAGGGCCGCTTTCTCCTCTGGTTATTGCATCTTCACTTTTGGACAAGAACACTGCATCTTCACTTTTGGATGCGGCCTCAGGAGATAGTGGAGGTTGTGGTGATGTTGAAGAAGCAGAACAAGGTGGACTTTGTGCCACCGTAGAAGAAGAAGGAGAAGAAGAGTGAGACGCCTCAACATTTGCTTGCTGAATGCTTTTGCTTTCCTGCCCTGCTGTCTCTGCAAAAGTAACCTTCTCCCTAACAGCTCTCATGACAAACTCTTCTCGCGTAACCTTTACCTCCGTAGTTGTTACAGTTTTAGAGGTAGGTTTTTGGTGCTCGCTTACCCCGCTTTTTATGCCTTTCTCATCCTAAGGGAGAGAGGCATAAAAAGCGGTAAGAAAAGCACCTTTAACCTACCCTTAACAGTTGTAGGATCGTGTGATTCACTTTCATTTACTTCAGGTTGCTCCGAGTCACCAATATGTTCGTGTGATTCACTTTCATTTACTTCAGGTTGCTCAGAGTCACCAATATGTTCGTGTGATTCACTTTCATTTACTTCAGGTTGCTCCGAGTGGTCGCCAATTGCCACTCCCTCTGGCCCATTGACGTACTCTAAAAGCGTGTCGATCTGCGTCGCCTTCTCTTCCTCCAAGGATGCGCGATCTCTTTCTATGCTCTCTTCTTTCACTTTCAAAGCCTCAAACATGCTCTGAAAATGCTCCTTTTCGGCAGCAAATGCAGCTTCCCTCTCTTCCACAACGTCTAACGCGCTGACCAGATCTGAGACACGGGTGAATACCTGGCATTTTGAACAGCCGCATCATTCGTCCGCAGATTTTTAGTCTCCTGTTTGAAAAAACTAGGTCCGAGACTACACGGGAGTGAAAAGCTAAATCTTCAGTGAAGCAAAATCTTACCGCTTCCGCTCTATGAAGATCGTAAGTCACAATAAGTATATATTACCGTATCATTCAACTCTTCATCAAACGAGCGTCTTTGGCTCGCTAAAAAACGATTGGCGCGTTCTAATTTCATCTCCTTCAGTTGCAGCATCCTCTTCGTCGCTAGAAGCTCTGCACGGGTCTGCTTCAAGGTTTCAAGCGCCAGGCTTTCTGTCTGTGATGCGGCCTCTTGTCGCTCTTGCAAGGATAGCTTGTTCGCTTGTAGATCGTTCCCGGCACGTGCGTCATCGCTCAAGATCCCCGAGGCTGGAAGATGCTCTCGGCTTGCTGTCCATGTCGACACTTTTTCCTCAGGGGTCCCGGAGCAAGATGACTCTTCAGCCTCACATTCACTCTCCTGAGCGGTCTTCTTATCCTTCCTCTTGCCACTAGCAGTCGACGGTGAAGATGCCACTCCTCTGCTTGTCGCCAGCACCTTCGCTTCCTTGTGTCGAGACGAAGAGCTAATATTCCGTTCCCCTGCTTTCGACACGGTCGTTCTTTGTGGACATAGCCTGGGAACCCTCGGAGCCTTGGGCCATGGTCCCGCGTCAAGACTGACGCTGGTCTTAGAAGAGGCACAATAAGAACCATACAATAAACCTCGCACAGAGTTCAGTGCAGACTGCCTTAGGTCGTCGTAGTGTTTCGTCACGATGATACCTCACACAAGATTTTAAGCTACTAACAGCGAAGCGGCACGAGACAGAAATCCATCTCCAGCTCCGAGTAAATGGATCTTGAAATGCAGAACAAGAAGAATTTTGGATGCATTTCAAAAGCATCTTCCTTGGATGGATTTCTGCTACTTCCTGTTCTATAATCCTCGTAGCTCCATTTCTGCTCTTCGTGGCCAGCCACCTCCTCTCAAAGTCAGTAGCGATAAGGTATCTGCGTAGCACATGTCGGGACAAGGACGTCGTAAATCGCAGCTCCCTCATGGTCCAACTCCAACTCTAAGATTGAGAAGATCCAGGAGAACGAGAGATAGCATTCCCATTGACGTCTTCATTTTCTTTATCCCTCCATTGAAATACTGTAGTTGTAGATGCAATGACAAAGAAGTTGTTGCTCCATGACAATGCGGGTAAATGATTCACGAAAAATGGATATGACATCAGTATTCACAAACTGAACGGATCAATCTATATTCACAAACACATTCCTTCGTTGTAAATAAAATCTTCTACTTCCATTAGGAGGATTAATCTTAAAAGAAAAATGACTGAACACCATCGGAAGTCCAGAGCCATCATTTGAAGCAAGTAAGCTACTCGAGATAATGACCTCAGGCTTATGGGAGTAGAGAAAGTGCATCTAGTATCTAGCTAACTCTCTCCCTCTCTGTCCTAAAAAGCAAAACTCTTATCGCCCGCGTCGTGTAACCCCTCTGGTTGCTTTATTCTCTCGAAGTGCTTGTCTCTCCTTTTGTTTCTCTCAACTCCTATGAAAAGATGGCAGATGAAGTCCTCTACTAAACCTTGAAAAGCCATAAATGGCAAGGTGAGCGTGGCGAACAGCAAAAAACAAAGAAAATGTATCATAGAAAGTGAACAAGCTTAACATAGGAGTTCGCTCAGAAGCATAGCAGTTGTACAACGTTTTTTAACAAATTGTAAGTGAGTGCATATCATTCTTGGTAGGGTCGCGTTCCCCTGATGAAAAGGTCATGAAATATTATCGCGTAGGATCATGGGGGAAGAGAGTGATTGGGCGTCTACTCTTTCACGTGTTCAAAACGACACTTATCTCCCCTACTGCATCCCTTTTCTGAGTTGAAATGTCGGCAAATAATTTTCTTCTTCGGTGCTGCTGGTGTTGTGGAAGAGTCGCCTTTTTGCTGTTCATTACTAGACGAGGCTACAGTTCCAGTGCTGGAAGCTGCTTCCTTGACATCGCTCTTGCTGGGACGAACCTTGTTCTCTACTTTTGTCGTCTCCGCAACTACATGATCCGCTTTGCTTTCTGAAATAGAAGCACTATGCTTTTTCACAGGCAGATCCTTTGCTCCTTTACTTGAGTTAGAGATTTTACCTTTAAGACCCTTGGAAGTAGCGTCTTTACCTCCTTTGTGGTCTCCCTTTTTCCCACCATGTTGATTGGTCTTTCCTTCTCCCTTCTTTCCCTTTTTTCCAGCACCTTTCTTCCCATACGTTTCTGCTCTCCACTTTTGTTTTTCATTCAGTTCTCTGCGCTTTTTCACATCTTCATTCGACCTACATAGACCCATCTTTACCAGGCCTTGCAGGTCCAAGGTGATCTTTTTACCTCCAAACTTCGTGTCGAAGCCATGATAGTTTCGGAATCCACCACACACCCACACGCCAAAAAACGGCGCAGCACCACTCTTCTGATTCGCCTTCGTGTGGATGAACTCGTACTTCTTCCTGTTGTACCCCCAGGGCGCGATGTAGAACACCTCAGCTCGTCGCTCGAGGTCTGGAGAATCTTCGAACTTCTTAGAAGATAGACTACAAGATGAACTAGTCGCTGGTGCAGCAGCCGTCGTGGTTCCTCTAACTTCCTCCAGTACATTTCCGATTTCCCATAGCCACTTCCTGAAAAACGACTTCTGACATGTCCAAGACGGAATTAGCATGCAAAAAGGTCGCGCGGTGGATAAGACTTGGTTTTTCAGCTTCTTCACTATTTTTTTACGCGTTTTCGCATCTACAACAGTTGATGAGGCTTGTCCACCTTCTTCGATCTTCTCGAGTTCTTTCAAATCCTCTAGTTCCTTTTTCAGTTTCTCTTGCTGGGACGCTACGCGCTTCTTCAAGTCGGCTAGAAGGTAGACGAGGAGTCGCTGTTTGTGATCGCCAGAATAGGGTGGATTCGTCACAAGTAAGTCGTAATCTGGAATGACGTTTTTCTCGATGTCAGCGTAAAAATCACGCTTCTCATTGATCACACGAAACAAGGAGGACTTTGTTGCAGCTACCGCTGCTTGTTCGTGGTCACCATCTTCATCGAGTTCTTCTTCTTCCTCTTCATCGAGCGCTGGATCTTCGTCAAGATCTTCCTCATCTAGAAGTTCCTCTTCATCATGTTTGGCTCCCGCCTTTTTCTTGCTGCTCTTGTTAATATGCTTCTTTCCACTACATTTTTCATCACCTTTCTGCCCTACATTTTGCATCACCTTCTCCAACAAGACTTTTGCATTGCCAGTACAAAAGTAAGGATCGTAGGCCACGACCTCTTTTTGCTGCTGGCCAGTAGTTGCGTTGTGCGTGAGCTTGACATGGAAGTCGAGGATCGCTTTTAGGTCTCCATAGGCTTCTTCAGAGGTTTCGAAATGGTCGCCATCGTCGACTGGGTAAGGATAATCTTCGTCGCCAGATTGGTCAGCAGCAGATGCTTGCTTCATGTCTATGTTTTCCTTCTCGTCCTCAGAGGAGCTGTCGTCTTCGGGTTCCTCACTAGAGGAATCATCTCCTTGTTGTAGTACTTTCTTCTTTGGTTCTTCTTCTTGTGCGGGAGAAGTAGACGCAGTTGTAGTTTTAGCATCTTCCTGCGGAAGGGAAGATGTTCCTGTTGTTGTTCCTGTAGTTGGTGTTCGACTTTCTTCACACACTGCTGGACAACAAGCAGCACTTTTTGATTGACTCAGGAGCTTATTTTTCTTCTTCTTTTCTGAAGGTGCCTTGACGGCGTGCTTGTCTGATGAAGATGCCACGGGTTTGACCGTCTCCACGACATCTTTCTTCTCCTGTGCGTCAATCTCCTTGACGCTGATCTTCTCCTTCTTCAGCTTCTTCTTACCACTGCCGTCGACTCTAGTCGTGGCTTTTCGCTTCCTCGTTCCCTCAAGAACTGGTGACATGGTGTTTAGCTTACTCTGGGGTGGTCAGGTAGCTACTGGTGAGTGGAAAGCCGATGTCGATGGATAAGCAGTAGTACTAGAGTGTAAGTACTAGAGTGTAAGTAAGGGATTATAGCCTAAAAATACATAGAAAGAGGAAATAAGTATTGAAGATGAAGTACGAATGCGTACTATCAATCAATACAACTATGAGAGCGCAACAGTCCTGAAGTGGAAGAGAGAAAAAACGTTAGTCTTTCGTCATCAACCATGTTCATGTTGATTATTCATGCCAGGAAGTAAACGACTTTGTTGCGTGGCCCCGCGTTTAGGTTTGTACCTACGTAGTGTGGTAAAAAAATTACGGGTCCGGTATAGATCCATCAGAGCACGACGAGAGATCCTGATAGGATCGGCAATGCTCACCTGTTCCCAGATCTTTCATGAACCACCATCCGGATCATGATCGAGGACCTGCATCTATCTGTCTATTGAGAAGGTCACGATCCTAAGGTACAAGTAGAACGGTGTGATCTGGGTAATGACCTTCTTGACTGCAGTGAATTTGGCCATTTGTCGTGACCGGATAGTTCTTATTTTGTTGTTGCAAGAACATCTTCATAGGACTTGATGGTGGAGGAGATTATAAGTACACGTTCTCCTCGTCACCTCATCATTCAACAAGAGTAGCTTGCTACAACAGCTTTCTGATAACGTCAAGCCCATTGGCCGCGATCAAGTCAGGATGCCACGTGCGCCGACATCACGAGGTTTATAGCGTTCGTTCTCGTGACATTCATTCTTCCACTCATTCATTTACCTGTTCGCGAGGCGTTGTTTAGAGTGTGGGGACTCAAATGCAAGGGAATGACTTGCAACGGGGGCTTCTTCAATGCAATTGCTAGTGCTTCGTAACTGTCGGCCCTTTTTTTACTTTGAGCTTACCCATATCTTGATGTTAAAACGCAAACGACTAGACGATCAAGTATTTCCTGTGGTTTAAGTTAACCGGTCAGCTTTTTAATATCTGAACGAGTTAGCAGCCTATTTCTCTTTTCAAGTTTTTTACCTTATAACTTTTGACTTCCTGCTACTGTGAACCAATTGCTAGTCTTATTTGCATGCTTTCAAACTTTAGGTGAACTCTAATCTTTCAACAACTCTTTCTTTTTCCTTTATTTTCTTGCCGCTTTCTAACCCCTTTGCGCTTCTTCATGTGTCTCTTCAGTAAGTCAATTCGCTTGGAGGGTGAGCGTCCTCTCATCTTCCGTAAGTACTTAGTTTGTGATCTTCTAGTTGCACTTGAGTCACAACAATTTCAGTAAGACACACAACGATATTGCTGTTGAAGAACATCAAGTACAATAACAGTGGGATGAAAATTTTAGGCATCACAACACCAAAATAGATGACTACGAGCGGTCGAGGCTACTCGTCTCAATGCGTAAGTTTCAATTTGTTCATTAGCTTACACAACGTCAGTAATTCAATGATGATCATTGTCGAAGATTAGCGAATAGGTGACTCCTGAATAACAATATGCTACACACGACCTCATTGGAGTTAGATTTTGAGGGGTCCCCGCCTCAGCCCTGCTTTTTAATTGTATGCCAAGATCGCCGAAAGGGTGATCCCAGTGATATCCGGTATGCCTGACGCACCGAATCGGCAGAAGTTACACTTGACTCGTTCACAAACAAAACAAATGATAAAGATGAAAGGGAACACTCACGAATTTATTTGTGACACTCCCTCTGCCTCATTGATGATGATATACCCAGAATTTACGGGTGTCAGTGTTACTAGTTAATTATTGTTGTCCTTGCTCCTCTTCTCTAATCGTTGCATCTTCTTCTTTTTCGTTTTCTTTTCTCCTCGTTTCTTCTTCTTCTTTCTCTGCCTTGCAGCTTTTTCCATGAATCCTCCATTTGCCGACAGCCAGTGCTTTCGAATGCTAACTCTAAAAGCGTGTCAACTTGCGTAACCTTCTTCTGTTCCACAACGTCTAGAGCGCTGACGAGGTCGGACACACGAATGAAAACCTGGTATTTTAAAAAACTAAATGTAAATTATTTTCAGTCCGAGACATCTCGTATTTTGAGAAATCTAGGTCGGAGACACGGGTAAAAACCTAAGTCTTCAGTGAAGCAACATATTACCGCTCTATGATCGCAAGTCACAACAAGTATTACCGTGTCATTCAATTCCCCCTCAAGCGAGCATCTTTGGGTCGCTAGAAAACGATTGGCGCGTTCTAATTTCATCTCCTTCACCTGCAACATCCTCTTCGTTCTATTTCGTTCTATCTTACAACTTACTGTAGTTGCTTCCTTCTTCGCCTCGTACAAGTCTCATCATGCATACACTTTTTTTCGAACGTTATACACGCCTCATACTTGTTCTTTCGATTTCTTACAATGACATCAGAACGCGTTCGTTGCTAGAAGACGCTTGTTCCCTACTACTTGGCGCACGGATCTCGGCCTGCAGGTCCGAGGGAGGAGTCGAGCAACCCCAGAAGGACGGCATACTTAAAAAGCTGCAACTTGCATATGCATCGCCCAGAACCTTCTGCGGCACTTCGTGTTTAGCCTGCGCCGCTTCCTCAGCCCCAAGTTTCTGCTCAGCCTGCGCCTCTTTCTCAGCCTGTTCAGCCTCTTTCTCAGCCTGTTCAGCCTCTTTCTCAGCCCGTTCAGCCTCTTTCTTAGCCTGTTCAGCCTCTAGTTTCTGCTGCTCAGCCGCCTGTTCTTTTTTAGCGCTTGTGGCTGTTCTCGTTGAATAAACAAATAGGAGAGCGCTGCAGACTCTACTTCACATTCATCTATTCGACAAACTGAAATAAGCAAGCGCCTACTTTGAATAACCGAGATACAGAAAGAAGAACAGCGTGGCGACTCTGTAATTTCAGTCAGCTACTCGCCTCTTTTAAGACTTCATCTACTAGAGCTCCTTTACAACATGTAGGATGTTATAATTTGGACACTACTTCTTAACAAGCACCTTAACTCTCAATTCCTGACTCGCGCGGAACCTTCTCCAGCCCAATTCTCTCGCTTTCGCTTCCTTTCGCTTGCGTTCCTTCATCTGTTTTTCCTCCTCTTTTCTTCGTGCTTCCTCCTCTACCTTCGCTTCCTTCAGCGCGGCTATCTTAGAAGAAGATTACATGATACAGATAACTAAGCCTTCAGTAGAAGAATTCTGCTCATCCACGTCCTTTGTCGTGGCCTATGTTGAGTTTGGAAGACAACAACTCTTAACTAGCAGTGTCGCTTGAGTGTGTAGATCAGCTGGCCCGCAAATTGGCATATCTTCTGCATCTTTAATTTCGTTAGAGTCGGCTTTTATTCATCCCGGATCTCTATCTCCAATTTCATGGAAAAGGCTAGAGCGAGATGCTGAGAAAGATGAATGAAAGCTGAACATAATCGCGAGATCGAAAGCCGTGCTACGACGCTTTTCGTCGGGATCTGTGTCCTCAACTGGCCGACCAGAGGATTCGTTTACTCGTGGCGCCAGGAGCCCTAGTACTGGTGCTCCACTCATGTAAGACAAGTCACCTGGGCCAACAATTAGTGATGGTCCTGGTGCAAACGGACTCCGCTGTCTACTTTTGCCGGAAGAAGAACGACCTGGACGCAAGGCCTCAACCACGCAAACGGACCCAAAGGACAAAAGTAGCACTAGTCCCATCTTGTTGTTGCGAAAAGACTTGCTCCACCGAGTGAGTGACGACATCTTTTTTTCCTTGTTATGATGAAGATCAATGAAGATTTATTAAAGCTTCTTCTATAAAGTCCGTTAGATGATTAGGTGACTTTTAGATTGATAATACTAATACAACAGGTCTAAAAAGTAAAGGATAATCCCGTAGCAAGTGAATTCTTCAAAGTTTTTGTAAGCTCCAAAGTACTTCTACGTAGCGTCCTTGTTCTTGTTCGAAGTAGCCATATTTTTTAACGATGTAAATCGGTTACTCCTGCTCGTCCTATGACTTGTTCTTGTTATAGCTTAGCAATACAACAACAGTCTTCTCCAATTCCAAGAAAAATCGAACTAATACAATGGCGCCAACTGTTCTTTCAATAGTTCCACATCAATCGTCCTAGTGTATGCATATACTTGCTCCCTATTTTCGCCGCCTCTTCGAGAATCTATCGCAACGGGGAGAGATCATAAATCGTCAGAAATCAATCATCTCATGTATGCAGTGATTCGTCCTTGTTTACAATGAAGTTTACCATTACCAATAAGTTTGCCATATATTTCTAATAGCACGGAAATGGACCTACTCACTTGACGATTCATATAAAGAACCACATGTCAAAGCATGACACTAAATTCCTTCCTGCTGATGATGATTTGAAAAAGTACAAGGGAAAGCCTCATCATCGTCCTTCTCTTATATTGGCGGAGCTCTGCATATTGGGAGATCCATTATTGATCGGAGCTGCTGCGAACGAGAAGCATAGTACAAAAATTGGTCATTTTTGGTGATCGACCTGCTCTTACAAAAATGATCGGTCTGCTTGTAGTTATGGAGACGTCTTTCACTTTTCATTTACGAAAACTGTCCTCATCGCCTCTGATAATGTGAGCTTTCCAGATTGTTCTCTTGGATTCCATTTGGGAGTGATTCTTTGAAGAATCTTCATCTTTGACCTGTGTGCGTCGTTCACTCCTTCGTTCAAGATCTTTTTCTTTTTCTTATGCATTCAATCTACTTCGACGGGATACTATGCCTAGCTCGAAGGAAACGTTTTGAGCGACCACGTAGCAGTTCTGCAAATCATTATGATTATCTCTACTGTCGGATAATGAATGAATGAATGAATGTACCCACTCCAGGGTTTTAGATTCATTGAAGCAAAACTACCATTCATTCATTCATGTTCGCGGTTCGGGTTCGGCAATTCAGCTCAAATAAAACCCGTCCACGACGTTTAGATAGTGCCGCCCAGAGCTGATCTACGACGGGACCACCTTCATCTGTGAAACAGTCGCCCCCGAAAGACATCACAGGGGGTCATGAGTGACAGACACGTACAAGATCCGTTAGCAGGTCCTTTTAGTTCCGGCCTACTCCGCCCATGTGATTGTTTACTATATCCGATTTTCCTAACGAGCTCCTACTCTCAGGCAGAGATCACTCTAGTCAGATCAGGATCGAGAATCCACTTCTTTGATTTTTACATTCATGCATTCGCGTGACTCTGGTTCGGATCTCTTTTACTTTGTTGAGCAGGAGACTTTTGTTCTCGTGTTTTAAGAAAAAAGGAACTAGCTGTTTGAAGTGTGAGGGGGGAACAACCGAATTTTTCCAGCGTTGCCTTCCTTACCTTTCAATAAAAGCGTTTCTCTTCTGCTCTTACCATTACTGCACTCTATATAAATGTCCTTTTGTTCGTGCTCTTATCTCTCTTGCAGCTAGACGAGCTAGTGATCGTACAAAAGAAGGGGGGGGGAGGAAAGCAGAAGAGATTGCAAAGCTGGTTGTCGAGGAGAGCAAACAGAAGGCCCCGAAACGAACAGCGTAACGCATGTTAAACAAGTGCTTAATACTGTTTGACCGATTGTCCTTTTTTTCTTTATTTTGGGTTGGGTATGTCACTTCCTAGAACGCCGGCCCTAAAGACTCATGCATAAACACGAAAAACGTATGAATCACGCATTCTCTCCTGGACTACTATTGTTCCCTAGTGAATCATACGTATTTTCGCGTTGATGCACAAGGTTTAGGACAGATCGCTTCGGGAAAGACTACTTTGTTACCAGCTAACCTTCGACATCCTGCTAGACAATCCCCATCCCTCTACTTCCTTCTACTTCTCCCTTTTTCACGTTCTTTGCGCTTCTCTTCTTTCGCCTTTTCCCATTCTTCCTATGGGCCTTGTGCTTCCGCCTTAGACTCGACATTCCCGTCACTTGTACTGCTCTCCCCACTCGTTGCTGGGAGTTCCGCGTAGTTCTCGCCGATCCTGGGACTGCTGTTAGGCCACCGTAATCCCAGCCTTCAGGTCTGCCTCTCACCGTCTGCATGGAGTATTTCCTATCGGCCAAAATCGCAAATTCCGCTCCTTTTTTCTGCACAGATTCCCTGACTGCAAGGCGTATTTCGTCTTTTTTATCCTCCCGAAAACTGTCGAAATCAGGGTGCTTCATCTTGATAAGTCCCACCGCGTAATCCTCCGACGCGAGGCCCTTGAGTGCCGGACCAGCGTTAGAGCGTGGAAACAGAGACATGTTTCTTTTTGATTTTTGTTTCTTTCTTTTTCTTTTCTTTCCACAGAACAGCTTGTCCTGCAAGTATTCTTATTTCCAGTTGTTAGGGGCCTTGTCCTTGTCGCCTACTTTACTGTCATCTATAATCATTTAAGGGAACTCCTGGCTTGTGAGCTCCCTTGTTGTTACTTTTCTTACTTCACAGGCATACCAGTAGTCTGTAGATCTAGTCACATTTCTATGCATAATACGAGTTTTCCTGTTCTTGTTGACAAACGATGTGATCTGGCGCAAATACTTCTTACGATTTCCTGATCTGTGTGTTCAAACGGGGACCTTCACCTAAATATAGCGTGGGCTTTTGAAAACACCCTCTGCATGCTCTTGTAGTTGCTTGTCCTCGCATCTTTGGATCTTCTTCTTTAACCGACATCTCTGAGCTCTTATACTTATTAGTATCCAGCCGCGAGGCTCGCTCTTTCGACTTATCATGATCCCAGTTTCAAGACTGACTTGAAGATTTCTTAACGAGGAAGGCTAACAGTGTTCACCTGAAAACCGCGCTCTTGAGTGCGTGAGTCTCTTATTCTTTCGGAACACGAACATTTGTCTTCTTTTTCTGAACATGACCCGCTTTGTCCCAGGAAGAGTACTCATCATCCTTAATTTCGTAGTTAACTTTCTTCGTTCTCTTACGGTCGTAGTCATATACCTCTCTTTTTTCCTGTATACTGCATCTGGATTTTTATTTGTGAGGAAAGTCATGACTCATTTTGGCTTTTCCCTTTTATTTCTGGTTCTTGTCGTTAAGTTTTTCACTTCTTTCTCTATCACTACGCCCCTTCTTGTCCACATTGCCAACTTCGAGCATCGATGAGAACGTTCAGACCCAAGGATGCATGCTGCTTTTCACCTCGATCCTCTCCACGAACTCTGTGTCAACAGAGGTGAAGCTCGATCTTCGGTCCATCGCAATGTCTGCCCCCTTATCATCGGCTTGTCGCGGAAAGATCTCCTTCGTGCTTCTACCGTTTAGTTGTTTTTGAACAACATGTACTTCTTGGATGGTTCATGGCCACAAATAGTATGAATCAACTGTCTGCCACCTCTGTCGCGAGCTCGTAGGATTTCAATCGTCTCGATGAGATTGTCAATCTTTTTAGAAATACTCTGCAGATTCTCTTGGGCGATGTCGTTCTTTATACACCACGTCCTTAGAGAAACTATAGATCGAACGTCGCCGCCATCCATATTCATGCCCATCATTTCTACCATATCTTCGCCGTCCTTTAGTGCGATGTCTAGATCTGTGAGAATTTCGAAGATAGCGTCATGAAGAAAATCTGCAACCTTGTCCTCCTGCTTAGCAGTCGCTATCAACCAGACCTCACTGATCCGCGACATCATATCCGTCGCCATGTCTAGGTGTATCCCTATACACGGTTGTATTGCGGTAGTCAGTTCCTCCGCGTTCTCGTGACACTCCGCCTTCCTAATCGTGACAAAAAAATGCGCGAGTGTGTCTTTGAGATTGTCCAGAGCGCAGAAGGTCGTATTTGCTGCCGACATAGCTGCTGAAGCCGCCGAACGTGATGCAATGTGCCTGGGGGCTAACGGGCTGAGAGGTTGGCAGTCGTTTAACGCCGCCATGTTCTTTTTTTTTTTTCTAATATACTATTTCCAACCTTGTTTATGTAGTACTGTGTTTGTGCTTGATTTCTTGTACTTCCACTTACCCTTGCATATACACGATCCGTTTTCTTCATTTCAGTCAGATTGAGGGGCTGCCACTCCGTACAGATGTTGCTTCATCATCACTCCTTTGGTCACCTTATACATTTCCGCATCCATCACTTACTGACGTTTATTGAGTTAACCATACCCGGCGGGTACGACCGTGCGGCTCCCGAGAATACCGAATTATCACAAACTACCAAAATTCTCCTTTGATATAAGTACGTTAGCCTCTACAACGTGGTCGTCCTTCTAGGTTTGGTATCGGTACTTCTATACAAGGCTTCCAATCTTATGAAAGCATTTTTCCTGAAAACGAGATATCCGAAACGGCCAAGATTCGTCCTCTACTCCATTATTCGCGGTTGTAGTTACCGAAGCCTTCCTCTCTCTCTCAAAACCAGATCTGCCGCTAATCTGCCAGCTGCCGGAGGAAGCCCGAGTCCGTGGCCGCTGAGAAATTAGAGTGCCTCTTAGCCTGCTGAGAAACAAAGCCCAGGCAAGGTAGCTCAGAAATAAGTAAAAACAGCTGCTAGCTTAGAAGAGATTCTGCCTTTTTTCTCACCAACGACCCTTAACTGTAATTCGTTAATGAGAATCGATCCAATGCGATCGATCGCAGGCAACAAAAGGCCAATGCGCTCGATGGTTAGGTTAGGTTATGGATCCTGCACAACGAGCCCCACTGGCACCTGCTCGCCTCCGAGGATGATGGGTGACCTAGTGATAAGTGATCACCGACAGCAACCGAGGCGGTGACTCGAGTAAAGTCGTGCCATTACGTTAAGGCTCAACTTTCAGATAAATATTCTTCCTCCTTGGTCTCAAGATTGGGCTTTTCACCTTCTCCTAGTCGCCGACTTTGAGTTGGAGCTGCTCACACTAGAAGCAGTATGCTGATGTCGATGACGTTTACCGGTCTCCTGGGTCGGCGACGACCATGCTGGTCCGAGACGTTGTTGTCCCGCGATTAGACATGATTTCCTTCTAGTTGGTGGCAAAAATCAGTTTTTTAGCATCATATTTATCCTCAAACCCTCTCTCTCTCTCTCGCTCGAGAGAACTCTAGGATATCTTTCATATCTTCATGAACGTGAACCCCCAAGACCAACACACGGGAACAAGTCGTAACCTTCTCGAAAAACACGCATCGCGAACGACTCTCCTTCTGTCGCCAACGCAGCAGAGTAGAGAAGCCACAACTCTTCTTCTGTCCTCAAAGCAGACAGAACAAGTCGACGTAGGCGTTCTATATTTTGCTCAAAATATCATTCTATGTATTTGCTACCGTCGATATTCTTGAGTAAACCACTATGATGCTTCATGTCTATTGAGTAAACCACTATGCCATTGTTTTCAGTCTTTTTCGCTCTGATGGAATTGCATACGTATCATCCCACCTGCGTTCGTAGCGTTCTTTGTACGAAGCAACTTAGTAGCAATCATCTCACCCATGAGCGTCGAGCTTTTGTCACTGGCGCCACAACATCAAGCTGTAACTGTATACAAGCTTCTTGTCCCCCTTATAGGCACAGCACTCCTCTGCTGAGGTATAATCTTTTATCTCCCGTATAATTTCATACTAGTATTACAGCTACATAGCAATAAACATATTACGCCAACATAATGTAGTTAGTATGAAGAGAAAAAATGCTAGCTCTGTTCATCGTTTTTAGGCACATGCATCGCGTTTTTTATCAACGATCAAACCCCTTCTTCTCATCCACAAACGGGTGTGTTCTTGAAGAGGGATTCTTATACAGACCAACATGACATGATATAATCACAATGCGACTACTTCCGGACATGCGGTGCGTGGACAATAATTTTCATTCATCTTCATAGTGCAGCATCATATACATCATTGATAGAAGATTCCTACCTATACTGGAGGAGAAGTCCTGAAAGAAGCGTATCGAGATTATCTTCACATGTCGGAGATCATTAGATAAATTTCTCAGAACTCACAGACAACTAACATAGTTACATCTAAATTATAACCACAAACAACTCTCAGGGCAGGACAGACGCAGAGACTGCTGTGAGCTGAGAGAGCTCTGTAGAAGCGGCCCTTAGTCATGTCATGCTTCCCTAAGTTGGTACCCATTTACTTCAATAAAACTCACAAGGCTTCTTCTTTATCGACACAAAAAAAAATGACATATTGTAGTTCATCTGTATTCCAATGACCTACACTGCATGCGACATATTTATAAAAAGATAGAAGTTGCCTGAGGCGGAACTCACGACAGAGGAATCAAATTCTTGATTTCTGCCTGTCTTAAGGAGTCAGCCAGCAACAAAACAACAAACACCTAGTACATTGTAATTTTTGAAAAACTAAGAAAGATCAAAGTAAAAAAAAGAGAGACATTCCTCCTCCAATGTAAATGTCCATTCTCAAAAATAGAGAATCAAAGTGAGACCCGCCATCTGATCTGGTAGAAACTAACTAACATACATTATGCGAGAGAGAGTCTAAAGAAAAAGAGAACAGTTCTTTATAATTTTAATTACGATGCTGAATGAAATGACGGCAAAAAAAAGACAGACTTATACGACTTTCTCATAGAAGTAGACCCACTTCTAGCCAACTCATTGTTGTTGCTCCAACACCATTTTCAGATTTCGGTGATGGAACAAATGTAAATAGTACCATTTTTGTAATCGGAATAAATAGAGAGATAGACGGATATCACATAGCTCAAACCGAAGGATCATACCCACAGGATCGTCGAAGTAGGAGATTAATTTTCGAAAGAAGTTAGTAGAAGACCTGTTTTGTGTAAATAGGGATGTGTCTATTAAAGGAGGACAACGACAAACAACCTCAATTCAACTGGAGAGCAGAAGACTCCACTTCGATAGACTATGGAGAAATTCTTCTTCATCTTCATCTAGTGAGTTCTTTCTTAGTCATTAATATTGGCAAAAAGTATAACGAATCTTTCTTAACACTTACAACAACGAGCAGATGAAAGCTGCTACAGCTCATCTAGATTCATCTTAAATTGATAGAAGAGCATAGCTGTAGAAGTACGTAGTACTTGGATGTGTTTCAGTGTTTAGAAGCAAGACGTAGATTTGATCAACAACAGTTTTAGACTTGGTTGGAGGAGTCAGCTCGTCGGTCGCTAGACAATATGATAAATAGTGAAGAAAGGTAAACCAAGATGATGATCTTATGTGCTTATACCTGGGCGATTGCGATGATAGACATCTTCTTCTACATAGAAGGACAGCCACAAACTACATAGGACAACTACAGTCTTTGGTTGTCATGTGCATGCCCCTGATAGTGCCGTTCGTAGCACCCGCAGAGACAGAGTCTGAGTGGTTCGTTGCTTAGATAGCTATGCACTTACAGTTAATTTTGTTCATAGAAGTCTCGAAGTTTTCATCAGTCCGTTTCTAGTAGTTCTCATTCTCTTCCGTCCGTTCTCATCATCACTACCACCTGGCAGTCCCAAGCCTCCATAACATACAACATCATAGACGAGATAGTCTAGACCATAGAGCTAGAACTAGACAACGATAACAGCATTGATTCATCAAAACATTAACTTTAACATTGGTATAATCACATGAAAAGAGACAACAACAAACGAGAAGATTATATATCACTTCTCTCTCACAGTAGGACGAGGTGGAGAAGAAATATTACAATGATAACGATCTCTCAACGAATAAGAGAAGATCTCTCTATAGATTCCGATAGATTTTCTTTACAACAAGTTGTTCAAGTTCTCTGTTATTATGAATGAATCAATTCTATGACAATACCATCATCATCCAGTACTACTGAAATTGTACCGGCGGCGGCGGCGGTGGCGCTTCTTGCACTCCTGCTCCGCTCTGATCGCCTCCTCCTGGCACCTCGGCGTCTCCTGCAGACGGAGGAGGGACTAAAACTCCCTGAGCCTGTGCAACGCCGCTTCCTGGTGGTCCCGCGGAGCCTGGTGGTCCTACTCCTGAATTAGCGCTCACCCTAATGATCGTCCTCTTCCATCTCAAGATAGTGCGCGTCCTAGAGGGAGCTTTTTCCCCTTATCTCCTAGGAGGCTTCTCTCCTAGGATGCTGGCGTCTCTCAAAATGGGTGAGAGGGACCATTAGGGGAAGCCTTAACTGAACCAGCGGTTGGAGGTCCTCCTCCTCTGCTACCATGGGTGGTGTTGGGGTTCTTGCCGAGCACTTTTGCCACCAGCTCGTTTGCGATTTCCCGATCGTCTTGCGACATGAAGCTGGCTACCAGAGACGGATGTTCCCTAGCGGCTGACACGAGACCTGGATTGGTCCTAAGAAAGTTCTCCATCTGCGTCTTAGTCAGATACTTCTTAGATCCAGGCGCTCCACTGTCGCTTGAGCTCGAGTGCTCATTGGTCGGGTCGCTCGAATTGGAAATGTCGCCGGCGCTACTGATCGGAATCATTAGAAGCTGGGAGAAGAGGGGACGATATGAGGAAAGAGGGAAAATTTGTCAGGTGGTCTTTACTGGTAAACAGGCAATTATTAACTTCAAAAAGTCGAAGACGATTTACGATAATAGTTCATACGAAACTTAAAGTCACAAAGTCCATCCATAACAACTGTAATTGCGGTCCTCCTGCTGGCTGTTGTGGTGGATAGGCGACGCCTGCGTTTGCTGGATTATTTTTCTTCCCTCTCCCCTTCAATGCATCCCGTCCAACGACCACTGGCGGACCAGGCCCTAGTGGGCCTGGACCCATGCCTGGTGGCGGAGCAGGCAAGCCACCGGGATACGAGCTACTAACCGCGGCAGCAGAATTCCCGAGACCTCCTTTGCCCATGATACTAGGTGGTTGTTGTCCCATCATGTGTTGTGGACCACCAGCTCCAGTTTGAGCCAAGTGCTGTGGAGGTCCTCCGCGTTGATTGCCTCCGCGTGGACGTGTCATCACTCCCGGAACCTGTTGGTGTTGGCCTTGACCTTGAGCTTGACCATTAGCTGGACCGCCACTGGCACCATTACCAGGGATTCCACTTTGATGCTGTGCACCACCTGGTGGGAGCCCACCTTGTCCCTGTTGTCCACCTGCTCCAGCACTAGGATTGTTGTCGCCTCGTGCCCTACCAGCTGCGCCATGCACTGCATAAACGGCTTCATGATCTTTGATGACTGACTCCACCCACGAAGCAAAAACCATATTTTGCTGCGCCGACTTTTTTCCAGTGACCTGCTGTTGAATATCCGGCTTCTTCGCTGCGCTTGCTACAGAATTGATCTGAGTGTTGAAGAAGCGAGCATGAACGATCGTCGGAATAGGATCGGACAAACAAGAGGATAGGAAATTATACTCATCATGCCCTCATCATATTTCTAGTGCTACAACGAACATCCTAGTTAAAAAGCAAGAGAAAAAAAGCCAGATACACTAGTACCTCCAACAAAGTCCTCCTAAGCTCCGCCGGCGGCATGAATGCCGCATTGCTGAATGTTGTTGACAAGAATTCATTTGGGACTGCAGACGGTAGGTTGGGAATGAGCCTGTGTAGGCCATGTAGGATGTCGTTGGAGAGTTGCTGTGGTGTTTTGCCTAGTGGCAGTCCTCCTGTAGTCATACCTGGCGGACCGGCAATCTGATGATCTATTGGCGTTCCTCCGGTTGGTCCGTGTTGTTGAGCTGCCTGTGGGTGTTGTGCTGCCTGTGGGTGTTGTGCTGCCTGTGGAGGGTGTTGCGCTTGTACTTGTGCTGAGTGTTGCGCTTGCACTTGTGGGTGTTGTGATGGATCCACCTGAGCTCCTTGCATAACAGGAGGTGCTACTTGTGGAGGGTGTCTTCCAGCTGCTCTACTGTTGTTGTTCTGATGTTGTGCATGTCCTCCGGGAACAAGCCCACCTGGCGGCACTCCTCCTGCAGCATGATTTGCACTACCTCCTCCGAGACCTCCGGAGACCACCACTCCAGCGTTCCCAGTCAAAATAGCTGTTGCAGCCGCTGCTCCTACTCCCGGTCCTCCAACTTCATCCCCAGAGATTACGTGATGATGCTGATGTTGATGTGCTCCCGGACCACCTCCAAGATCGCCTTTCACACTCCCCACCTCGTCTGATATCGCTCCTCCTCTTGGCGTCGTTGTGTCGCCTGCCAGAATCTCCGGCAATTCGCCCTTCTCCAGTCGCAGATACAAATGATGTAACTCTTGCAATTGCGAAATCAACGGTGCGTTTCGTGGATCTTGAAGGAAATGCTCAAGGAAAGTGGAGTCCATTTGACCCAAGAGGTAGGTGGCGGTGGTCATTGACTGTCCCAAGTTGCGGATGGCATCTACCGTGAAATCCTCTGCTTTTCGATTCTCGTTGTTGGTCAAATGCACTTGGTTCTGCGCGATGAAGTACAAGCTGAGAAGTTGTTAACGAGAGAGGAGTTTATAAGTTAATTGAGAGTCGAGTGTGGGAGTGAAGAGATGAGTTACTTAGTAGAGTTTAGAATTGAGAAATACATCTTCAGTGTAAAATCAATAGAAGAGAGAAGGATAAATACACGACTGGTGATCACGAAGCACAAGCCGGAAAGAAAACTGTGGAGAACAGCAAAAATTCAAAAAAGAGAAGTAATACTGTCTCAACGCTTGAAAATTTTTTTGTTTCGGATCTTGTGCTGCCACCGCCGAAATTGCGCTTTTCACTGATGGGAACACTGGCAGTGGAAGTGTCAACGCCGCATCGGTTCCTTTTTTACACTTAATAACCGCTTGTTGCAAATGCGCATTGTTGTCGTGGTAAGCCTGATGTGGTCGTGGGGTTGGGGTCCTTAGGGCTTAGGGCTTATGATGTGGATTTTGATCCTTTCTGGCTTGCTCATAGAAGAATTTCCCACGTCGTGGAGTCAGAGGTAGTGACAAAATTTCGTTCTTTCCTCATCCAACGAGTAGTTGTTGGGAAGAAACGAAAGTATCTCATCATGCGAAGACGATCGTTGATCCTCACATACGATTCAAATTTAATTTCACAACTTCTTACTGTCAGAGGTAGTGACAAAAATGGGTTGTTCTTCACAGTGTAGACAGTCAAAGCTGTCTTGCATCTGCTGAAAAACATTTCTTTCCATCATGGATGTGTTTTCGTAGTACAGCGCACTATGTCTAAAAAAACAAGTAGTACATCCTGCACGACAGCACAGCAGCAATACAGCAATCGGATCTGCCAGCTTCCTACGTATGACTCTGACTTCGTGTGCGCTCGCTTGCGGTCACCTGGGAAACGATTTATTATAAGGATCATCGTGAACAGAAATGGGCTTCGACCAATACAGAAAATCCACTTTCTGAACATAACAAATACAATAAAAGCTTCTTCGATCAACATGACGTCGCGATGAAGGTTCAAACATGTTCTTCCAAAACTTTTTGAATGAAATCAATTCTAGAAGTAGTACGATCCGTCTTGAACTGCAGAAAAGCGTCGAGGACCTGACCACGACCACCGCTAGGCCACCACAATACTACATCCTGCTCAAAACCCACTTCAGAAAAGGATTCCACAAACTCCTCCTCGGTGATCTTCTCCAGATTCACTCGGCACTTCATGTAAACACTCTCCGGTCGCCAGGATACGGGACAGAGCTGTTGTGGTGGAGTTTGATCCGGCATCAACTTCTTTTTCATGGCAAGAAAACTATAATGAACTAGACCCCTACCATATTAATTTGTAGCCTTTGTACAAGTACAAAAAAAGCAGCTTCTCACAGTACCTCATGCAAAGTTTGCGTCAATTTCTCCGGTCCTTGTGAGTGTATTTCTGTTGTCGCCTTTCGCAGTGCTGCCATTATCCTTTTTTTGCCCCTTGCAGTGACGTTTCCCGCCAAATTATGGCACAAATCGAACGGATCTTCTATGCACCAATCCTGTTTCTCCCGCTCCATTTGCGAGACGACGAATTCGTCAAGTGCTTTTCGTTCTACCCCAGTTTCGGAATCAAACTCCGTCATGCCCTGCCTGATGGACACAGCCTTGGCGGACCACTCGAATTTGTTGGCATAGTAGTCGAAGAACTCGGCAAGTAGCTCTTGCACTGGTCGTGCGTTTACGCTTGGCGGGATCTTTTGCACTTCGAGAAAGAAAGTGACGTTCCACTCGCGCTCCTGGCCCCAACGAGAATCGGGGATTGTCCTGTGTACGTGTAGGAGTGTAGTGTAGTGTGCTGTAGTTAGAGGCAAAGTCGTGTTCTTGTAGAAGTACTATAATATAGTGTAAATAAAGTGCTTCATGAACAACGCAAGAAGTGCTTCTGATAAGTGTACAGAGGCCAACGCCTCTAAACCACTCAGCCAACTGCGCAGCTTCAACACGACTATCATAATTCACCTAAAATCGAATAGAAAAATATTAATCTACTTTTTCACAGTCCCCGGGTCCTGCAGTCCCAATGCTTGTAAATTCGGCAGCACTGGGAAGGGCTCCGTGTGCATCAAGTAATACACTGCCATCAGAGTCCAGGCATAGCTGTTTAGGTGGCCATCTGTGCTGCCTACGATCTCGAATCTCTTTGCAAAGCACTTGACTCTTCGGATGAAATCCGAAACCCTGCGGTCAATTCTGGCATAACTTCCCATGAGTAAGGAATTGCGATAGCCGAGATGGTTGTCCACACAGATATCGATGTCCACACCGTGTCGGTCCATCAGTTTGAGGAGGGGCAAAGCCGCTTGGAAAACGGTGACGAAGTTCACGAAACCTGTGGAGGTAGTTTGATTATGGTTTGCTCGTTCTAGCTGCTGTGCTGCTGACGGGTTCAATTTATTTGAGGAACAACGCACTATGCTTACAATCTCAATGTTGAGTAGAGAAAGTAAGAAAGCACTTCTACGTTGGAATACTTAAATGTTTATCTTGTTTCCTCAGTCCGTAGTTCAACCATGATGTAGTCCTAGTAGCTACGGATGAAATCTATACTAACTACCATATTAGTACTATCATGTGAACCTCAATCCATACTACCATACACTGTATCATAAAAAATAGAAATTAGTACCCAATTCGGACAATGCATCCATGAATTTTTGGAGGATACTGACTGCCGGCATGTCCCTTTCTTCTTCGTGGCGTTCGTACATGACGTCCAAATCGCTTGTCTTTGTGATCAGACCACTGGTATAACTACCAAACGGTTTCAATTCTCCCTTTAGACCGACAAAGCGGATGAGGGTCTTAGCCCGTTGCGGGTCAATGAACCAAGAGGATTCGCATTGGGTCTGTGATTTATTCATATTGTGATATTGTGTGTAAGAAATTTAGGTGGTGAGATGAATGTTGACAATTTTTTGTACTTAATTGATCTGAAGCTTGACATGAACGATAGAGATAGAAGACCAAAAGTAAACGTTGTGCAAAAAACCTTCATCGCAGCCAGTTGGTTCGGATTAAGCCCCGACGAAGAGGAAGAGCCACCACCAGCCATCTTGCCGCTCATTTCGATGTTGTCGCTGTTGTGTTTGTCGTCGCTACGTTTGTTCTTGCTGGTGTCGTTTTTTTGAAATTTTTGCGTCGCTGAGAAAACAAAATGTCGCTGGTTGTTCTCGTTGTATTCTAGCTTTTTATACGTAGTAGCCCCTTGTTGTACTAGTACGGTATGTTGTACCACGAAGGAGTTATCAAGAAGCAGAAGAAGCGTTTCTCCTTTCTCTGCTAGAAGAGATTCCGCGGCTCCTTTATCTCCTCTATGGCTAGGCTGTAGAGTTTCTAAAATTCTAGCAGCTTCTCTGTTTTCCTCGTCTCCTTTCTTTCTACAAAAATCTTTGCTGTCTTTATGAAGAAGAAGCGTAGTAGTAGTTTACGTGTTCTACTGTTTAGTCTTCTCCGGTGACTGGCGGCGGACGCAGTGCGTCCTCCACCGAATCTTCCTCAGAATGCAAGAGTAGAAGTTGTTCCTTTGCGCGTCCACTATAGGAGAAGTTCGAATACAAGTTCCTGCTACGTGTGGATAAGTTCTTGCATGATATTTTGATAGAAGAAGATTTTCGTTGTTCCGAAAATATAGAAGAAGTTTGAAGTTGTATTTCCGTCTGAAGAGATTGCAGTATTAAAAAAGCCATTTTTCCGTTGCTTCACTTTTCAGATGAATAATACTACGGCGTGGTAGAAAGCTGCATCAAACTGATACTGAACTTCGTCATCTAGAATTGCGCGTCCTGCTTCTAGACTTCTCTTCTTCTTTGCGGCGTTTGTCCTCCGTTGTCCGTTTACTATACCTCTGTCGTCGTCGTCTGCACGAGTATCGCTTAGCCTACCCGTTTGTCTTCTACTTCGTTACGATATTAGCGCCGTGTGTTCAGAGGCCGAGAGCAGGACCATTTCTTTCTCCTTAAGTATGAAAGACGCTTCTCCTTATTTCGTTGTAGGTACAACTACTATGTCTTTATTCAGTATGTAGTTCGCGTTCTATTATTCACACTTCTTTCGTTGTAGTAAGATGATTTATACAATGTCGGCGTGAGCGGCGGAATAGAAGTTTTCATTTATTGTACAATGAATGATTCCTTTCAACAATTTTGAAATGAAGAAAACCAAATAAAGTTCGACTTCGGCACATTCCAGATATAGATAGCACAAAGTGAAAGTGCGCGAGACACAACAGATACGATATTAAAAATGTCTCACCACCTCTTAAGGCGAAGTTTGTGGATGATCTTAGTCACCTCCGCATTTATGCTATGATGGCTATACTTCTCAAGTCTATATACTTAGTATGTATTTTTTGCGTCAAATTCACCCTTCCCATTGAATAGTATCATGTTACACGACCAGTGAGAAGATTAGCCGATACGTCAACCACCTAACTACGGAGTGTAGTAAGTACTTATGTCAAAGACATAGACAGTAGGTCTGATTCGACCTTAATATGTTGTATTTATTTCGCTTCCTTATTTGCACTGGTTAGAACCAGAGACCGTTGTGAAAAACGTTGGCTATTCTTGTAGTTAACCTGAGACTGTAATTCACGTTGGGCGCTGTCTAATCAAATCGTGGACGAAGAAATAGCAAAGCTAAGCTTATACGCAATTTTCTCAGAAGAGCTAATAAAAGCTCAATGCTTCCTGGTTTGACAACTGGATTAGTGGGGAAGGGACGAGGCATGTAAGTGGAGTTGTTATGGCAGGGAAGAAGAAGATGAAGCTTTTCCCGCAGCACGCCCACGCGTGTAGATTGATAAAAGATTGAAACCCACGGCGATCAAAATACAAGGCAAAGTAGAAAGCAGATTTCTATTCTCGTACCTCTATCATCGACAATTGCTGCAGGTCTGGTGGAAATCGTCTACTGAATCTTTAATATTCTCCTTTCTTTTACAAAATAGAGAATAAGAACATTTCAATTCTCACTTGTCATTCCGGATCTAAGGTCCGCATCTTGTAGGTCGTGTTCTTGGATCCTCTCCGAACCATGATTTTAATCCTCTGATTTCGATTTGCAGATTCACGAAGTCTGGGACCAGTAAGTAATGTTGACCTTTTAGATGCGACGGATAGACCAATATTAAAATGAACACTCAAACAAGTGACTTTCACAAAAAAAACGCATGAATGAAGAATGGCTGTGATCTTTGACGAGAGTCGGAGTCGTTTGAGGGAGCAGCCCCCCACAATTTGACAATACAAGATCATGGGGACATGTAGTAGGTATGAGTTTCTTTGTTTCATGCAACATAGTACGGCGCCATGCTATTCCTCCACTACAGAAGATAAAGCAGTAGTTGTGGTGTTCGAGGTCGGCGCTGATCTCTTTTCTCGCATACTCTGCCAATAAGACTGTCTCTGCTCAGACCGTGATCTTCGTTTTACAGTCCTAGGGTCTAGAGAAGAGCAGTCATTGGCATTTAGATAGTCCTCGCGCTCATGTCGCGGTACATAGAAAGGCGAATTGCGTGCACCCCGGAAGGTCTTCGAGGAGACAACTTCAGAACTCGTGCTTCCACTAGTTGTAGAAGTGCCAGTCGTGTTCATCTCTAAAGCAGCAGCGCGCGCAGCTGCAATCCGAGCATCGATGTTGGAAATGGATGAAGCGGCAGAGGCAGACAGGGACGCTGAAGAACTGCTACCACTGCTACTACTCGCGGCAGCACTAGATGTAGAAGGTGTTGCGCTCTTTGTCTTTCGTACTTCGACTTTGCCACTTTTTGCTCCTTCTTCTGTAGCAGCTACAACCGATTGCGCAGCAACTTGACCACTACTTCTAGAACTAGTCTTGACCACTACTTCTATTTCCATCTCCCCCACGAAGTCACCGTCAACGAAACTGCTCTTTTTAACACTACCGAATCCTATCCTGTGTAGACCAGAAACATCACCGTATCGAATGCTGTCGCTGTGAACTGGGTTGCCTGGACGACCTTGGAGATCTTCCCCAACGAGGTCTGCTTGTTCGTGCAGTTTAGTTGTAGTGCAAGTAGGCACGCCGTCGTTAGATAGCCCAGCATCTTCGTTCTCGACAGCATCCGGTCTTGTCGTGACATTGCTTTTACGTTCACTTCCATTTTTTCCCCGACTCCTTGTCCTCGGCAAGCTCTTTGTTTTCGAGAAGCGAGTTGTACCTCCAGGCGCTGCTCTGCTCTCCGAATCTTCCTTGGCGTTCCAACTCCGCACTACATTAGCTTCCTCTATCGTAGCTAGCGCCGCACTCGGAACTGAAGTTCGATACCAAGGAGGTGTGAAAATCCAGACTTTATTTCTAGGCTCCTCTTGGGAGTCTCCAGTCAGAAGGCGAGGAGCAGCGTTAGCAGGTGCAATGCCATCAATGCCATCCACTTGTGGTCTATCCTGTTCTATCGGTACCCGCTTGCTTTGTTTCAGTATGATCGTGTCGCCCCAAACCACAACAGGGTTCTCGTTTGTCCCACCCTTGAGCATGAAATCAGACGTATCCTCCCCTAGCTCCAATGGACCAACGCCGCGTCTCCTGGTCCCCGGCATTACGGTCTCTTCGTCGTCCGCATCTTCAACGTCCTCAAATGGCCCTATAATTGTGCCTCTTCTCCTTATTGTTCCATCGCGGCCACGCGTCATCAACGACTTTTTCTCCACGTCATTCACCGCGCTTTGCGGTATGCCTCTCTTCACGACCACATTCTCCCCATCACAGTCCAAAAACATCTTCTCTTCCTCCAAGATGACTATCGGCTCACTGCGAGTTCTGCGGAACATGCGAGTTCCTCGGAAGTAGTCGCGCCGATCGTAAACGACCCTGGTACACGAAAAGTCGAGATTCGTCACTTGGAGTTAGAGAGTGCGAGTGGATGATCGTTTGAGTACTTACACTGAGAGAAATCGGTAGAGGATTTCAGGCAGTAGTGCCACCAGAAAATACGCTTTTTACCCACAAGGACGATCAAATAATGGGATACATGAATGAAAACATTAACATTCATCAGTGGATAGAAGATGCATTTTTCTGCTTACTTCTGTCGCGAAGATCATAATGACTCTCCGACAAGCTCAACAGCGGAGGAGGCTCGATGTCAACGGTTGATGTGTATGTTCGTTCGATTGCAGTGTCGCATAGCTTGATATCAGGAACGCCTGTCGCTTTACCTTCGTCTTGCACAGCAGGTTCGTGTTCCACGCCAACAGCAGCCTCTTCTAGGGCGAACACATCAGGTGGTGCTTCTGGAACCACGTTCTTGGAAGGGAAGCCTCTCCCAGTCTCTTCATTGTAGTAGATGCTGCTTAGCCAGCTCGTTTCTAGCATTTCCCTTCGTAGCATTCGGACGTCGACGGCTGTTATTAGAAGACCTTACTGGCAACCACTAAGCCAGCTGCGCAGTCGGTTTAGTGGTTTAGGCGTTGACCTGTACACTTATCACATTGCTTTGAACTCTAGTACCTGTCGTGGCACTAGCACACTGTGCTACTAGTACAGGAGGCATTTTTTAACATTATGTCATGTCAAAAACTCATCTGACATTCATCTCTAAGAGTAAGTTACTATCTGGTGCCTTAAATCCCCTCCACTCCCGATCTTGTACCCCACTGAGTCCTTCTTCAAATTCACAGGGATGTTCTCGCTTATCCCACGAGTCGCGGTGACGAAGCCCAGAGCTCCATAGAGGTAACCAAAACTATTCGAGTTTGACACATATCGTGATCCGACGTACAGTCCAAATCCTATTGAAAAAACTAGAGCAGCTGCTTTTCCTTTGTCGGCGTTGGAGATATGCTGGGAAACCTCAAATGGGTTTGAAGAAGCGGCTGCTTCATCGTAGTTGACGGAACTATACGCATACCCAGGATCGAGGTCGCTCCAGTGTTTGTGGCGTCGGTTGTAGGTGGGGTAGCGAAAGAGTTAGAGGTGTGCAGAGACAAAACGTATCTCTCACTCATGTTGAAATAAGATCAGGACTTTCTTTGACATTGAGTAATTGTTTCTAATAAATGCCGGCGTTGAGTGTCCTACACAACATAATACGATGAGCCTTAGTGATCCGCATTTCCAACATGCTGCTTAAAGTTTCGCCCAAGATCCGCACTTTCATATCGCCAAAAATCCTCAAAAGGCTGGTTTCCTCCTACGGTACCCGGTGAACTCCACATATTGGCATAGGGATTAGCTCCAGACCTGCTGGACGAATCACATCCAGCAGAACTCGATGAACTATAGCTAGAGTTCGAGCCGGTTCTCTGCCATGCTGAATTGGTCCCATCTCTTGAAGTGAGACCATCAGCGGCTCCAAATTCCTCTAGCAAACTCTTCGCCTCCTCGTATTGCTTCTTTAAGGCTATGAAATTCCGCTCTGCGGCCGATCGTAGGTGCTGTGGTGCTGCATCAGGGTGTGCTTGTTTGGCCAGGCGGAAGTAGGCCTGACGCAAAAGCTTCTGTTGCTCTGATAGTGAGGATCCTGTGGAGGTTGCACCACTTTTAGCTGCGGCTCCTGGTGGTCCAGCGCCATCCCCGGATCTAAACCGGTGCAGCAACACAGCAAGCCGTTCTCGAGTGCGTGGAAGCTCCTTTTGCATTGTCGCTAGTCGTTTGGGCTAGCGTCAGAGGTGAATGCGACGTCGTGCACATGATCCATGTTTTTCGCGTTAAGACATACTCCATCGATTATGAAGAAAAAGTAATCATTCATTCTTTCAAAAAAACACGCAAAGCTGTACAAAAACAACTACGAACGAGGAGAGGGAGATAGTGGGACACAGGGACAGAGAGTAGTTTTCAAAAAAGAGGTTTACGTTTAGTCTCAACATACAAACCACACATAACACCTTTTCATGAAAGTTTGATTCATCTCTAGAATTTTCATATAAATGTGCTCTCAGAAATAACAGTGTAAAGGTCCTCGTGACCCTCTCGGAAAAGCAAAATCAAAAAGCGAAGGGTGGGGTCATCAAAATGGGGGACTTTCTTGCTATTCTTACGAATAAGGGCCTGTTTTTCGCTCAGACAAGCAGTAACTATTCTTGATCTGCCTCGTAGACCGATGCGCTCTGACAGCACCAAGTAAAGACGGACTGTTGGCACTTGTTTCTGATTTCAGGCAAGAGTGCGCGCGTCGTGACTTACTGAGCAGTCTCTCGTTCTTTAGAAGATAGGAGTGGCACGCTGCAAGAAAATCGCAAGCGGGAGAACACCAACACAGAGAAACCGAAGATGAATCTGTAGCACACATGCGCATGCTACAACAGTCGAAGTAGATGTCGCTGACAACTAGGACAACTTCTGTTTGAGAGTAGTTGCAGAAAACGGACTTAGTCCACTTTGAGGCAAATCAAAAGGGACTGTGGAAACCACGATGAAGCTGATTCAATTGCACAAATGAAGCTCTTTTCAAAGATAAGATGAATATATTGCAGGTGCAGCGATGATGCAACTATATAAGCCAATGAAGCCCATACTCAAAAATATCAAGGGTTGAACTGTACTAGAGAAGCAGAACTATAAGGTTGGCTATACTTGTCACCAACGTTTGAATAATAAGTGCATTATTTACTTTGAATAGCTGTTTCATTTAGCGGGCTATCAACTGTGCAAGGAGACTCTCATTCAATTTTCCCAAAAGGCCGACACTTGTGTTATCTTTTTATCATTTACGGGTTCCTTTTCTTGCTCTAGCTATAACGAGTAGAAATGAACCTGATGGACGAGTGTTTCGATTTTGCATTTTCACATCTATGTAACCTAAGATTCATTTTTTTCACCACTAATCGTATTTCCGACAACTACTCTCCAGTCCTACTACTTGTTCCATAATCCCCGAGCCCAGCATGTCCTACTCCACTATAATGCCACTATGATAGCCACCACCAGCACCAGCACCACCACTTCGTTCTTTACTTCCCGTTCCTCCAACATGTCGTTCTTTACGAGACCTTTTCAGAGGAAAAAAAGCTTTCGATTGCGTCTTCGGAGTCAAATCTGCGCCACAAGCCATGGCCTTCCAAAGTCTGCAGTGAGACGGTTTGCATCTGTGCGGTGACGCCACCTGCGCCGCCGACTGGCAGGGGATTAGACGTCGATGTAGTAAGTACTCCAATTATCTAATAAAATTCTATAGTACAGTATTATACTAGACTACCTTCACCAACATAAAATTCAATTCCGAAAAGAATCGGTGCCAATGGTCCACCGCAGACGCCGACGGCAGTTCCGCGTTCCATTTAGCCATCGCTTTCGCTAGAGGCAGTTTGTCATCTACCCATTTGAGTACGAAATGGTCAATTTTTTCCAAAACCTCAAGCGCCACTGTCCGTTCTGGCGCAGATTGCAACTCGGCGATGGTTCGTAAGGCGTCTTCGGTTTTTTCATTTACGTGGTCGATGTTCTGCAAGACTACGTGGAGAAAAGCGCCAGTCTGCCACTGTTGGGAGAGAGAAGTCCAAGACTCGATCAAATCCCAAAGTCGGAAGGTGTCGGCGAAGAGGTTAGAAGAGGAGTGAAATAGAAATTGCTCTTTGCAAATACTGTAAATGCATACTCCGTCGCAACTGTTGTGCCTATAAGATGAAACTGCAAAATTGCAATGAAACTCGAACAATCTTCCAGCAAACCAAGTCGTGCCATAAAGACTAGCTTCATCCTTTGCACGATCTCCGCATTGACCGCTGCTATTTCAGCATAATTCTCCGTGATCGGATTGCCCTCTTCATCGAAATGGATAGGGTTGCCTTCTTCATCGTAGTGTTCGGGATCGTCAAGGGCGTGGAGACCGCGACCTGCAGAGAATGGTTGATGGTAGGAATTACAGAAAGGCCACTACCGGAGATAATTGATCTTAATCTTTTTAGCAGTAGGTGGAACAAAAGCTCTTCCTGCATTGGTATGGTTAGGATTAAAGGTTGAAACATTTCATTTTTTAGTAGCAATCTCAAGTAGAGAAGGCTTGTAAAAATGAAATGTTTCAACCCTTAATACAGGAGAATTCAATAGAAGGGTAAAAAAAAGCAAGTCCAAAGTACAAACAAACATATTTTGAAAACAAGAAAGTATACCTCCGCCCCCAAATGCACTTTCCTCAAAATTCATCAAATCGTCCAGCAAGGATCTATCCTTCTTAGGACTCCCAGGTTGCACAGTAGCTGCCAAAAGAGTGCCAATCTGCCTGTATCCACGCCACTTAAACAACACTGTCCATTCGGTACACGTTTCGGCGCGTTCCTCTAATTGCCGTTTCCTATCCCCCAAAGCACGTAAGTCGACCAAAACGGAATCTGCAATAGAGACCGCCTCCCCATTGACGAAGAGGCCGCGTCCTAGCTCTGCTGTGATTGTTACGCAGTCCTCTTCCAATTTCTGTACGCGGGAGCCCAACTCCTCAATCATCTTCCCTCGATGCTGTCTGACGAATTGGACTGCGTCCTGAACTTTCCGCGTGGTCAATTCTTCACTCTTGGCGTGTAATTGTTCGAGCTGTAACTGGTCATCCATCGCGATTTTCTGGTAGGAACGCAAGAAGAGATAGATCCCTTCGACCTCTTCTTTCTGAGACTCGAGTTTCGGAATGGACTCGATTACCCTGTGATAGATTTGACGGAGGTGCGGGGGATGGAGTAATTGAAGACTGAACACCATATCTTCATGGGCTCTTTAACATGGAAATGGAATTATCATTCTTTTTCTTCTACATATCAACATGACCGTCCTAGACGAATCGATACAGAGAAACTGAATCTCTTCCACTAAGAAGCGTCTGTACCTCTTCAGCGTCCTCATATGATCCATGTATTTTGTCAACTGAGCCGCGTGATCTTCCGCCAAGTTACGATTCGCTGTGTCAAAGGCTTGCACCGCTGCCCTACATCGTTCCCGACCTATCAGACGCAATGCGTCCTTCATGACAAGCAAAACCTTGGATGGCACAGGCATCAGAGCTTCCGCTTTCAGCACTTTCGCATCTAGGAGGATGAAAGACAACACATGGTGAGGTCGCAAGCGGTCCAAATCGTCTTGAAAGTTGCGCATCAGGTTCATCTCCCGGAAGAAATAATGGTGTGAGTCATTCTTCGCCGTTGCCTCTGGGTTCCACTTGCCGTTTAGAGGAAGGACCACGACTCGATAGTGGGAAAGTAGTCAGTCTACTTCACATGTTCATCCTTTGCGGCCATAAGATCCCGTAGTCGTATATCCTGCGGTATTGTGCAAATGTCTGATCTGCATACTGTTCAGCCTGTAAAAACGTGGACTCAATCTTCTTCTCAATAGAACGCAGATGGCGAGTGTAAGATCGATCTCTGTTGAGACACAGCTCTTCTACACTCTCCAGATGCAGTCTGCGAGTTGTGGCTGCTAGTTGTTGCTGGCTAGTCCTGGCAACGTGATTGTTAGAGATACTTGTTGCTGCCAATGTTGTAGGATGAGTTGTGCTGGTACGGGCTAGAGGTGCAGTAGAAGCGGCAACTGAAGCTGGATTCAAAGAGTTGTTGTTTGTGGTCGACGATGAAGCCGCTGCACTCCCACTTGTTGCCAAAGCAATTTTCAGATTCCCAATAGTCGGGTCGTCATTCAATGCGTCCCTCTTGTGCGTTCCTGTGTCTGTGGAAGAGGCACCATGCAAGCCCTTGGCACGATCCTGCGCGATAGTGCCAAACACCTCTACTTGAGTGAGAAATTGCTTGACATTGCCATTCTGTTGTTGTGAATTTTGCTGGATACTAGTAGTGCCTTCGTTCGAATTATGCTGCAATTGTGAGTCATTGCTGGCACTCGAAGTAGCCGCGATTCCATTGGTAGTGGCACTCGAAGCACCAGTGGCACCAGACGCCGCTGTTGCTCCTCCTGCTTTGTTGTGTTGCGATGTTGGGCTCGGCGCACCAGCTGCAGCGGCGGTTGCTTCCCCAGCCTCTCCAGCAGAGGTGTTGCCCGCTCCTTTCGTCCCATTTACAGCCACGATCGCTTCCCGAAAAGCCTTCGTGCGTGTTCCTGCTTGATCTAACTTCGACCCAGTCGGTTTTTGCGGCACTAACCTAGGGGTTCTTCTCGGTGTAATCTGAGAATTGGGGAGGTCCTTCTTCTTGGTGTTCTTGTTCCCACTCTTGTTCCCGTTGGAAGTACCACCGCCACTACCTGAAGTAGATATTTCTTTCTGTTCGCCTACAAGTGACAACACAGCTTCTGCCGTTCGAGTGACACGAGAATAAGTTTTACTAGGTTTTGCTTTGGCTGAAGGTAAACCAGCTATTTTCGGAAGAACCGGTCCTCCACTCGTTTGCTTTCCAGAAGCTTTTTCTTTATCATTTTCAATCGCTTTTATTGTAGCAGTACTCCGATGTTTCGTCTCCCCTGCCTGTAGATCCTCGTTCCCTGTCTCTCCATCTCCACCAGCGCCACTATTCTCAGCCTTGGGATCTTGGTCTGCAGAAGTAGGATCCCCTTCACCTGCTTCTTCACCTTTATCAGGTTTCTTCGTGCCCTCCTCAACTTGATGTTCGGCTACTTCTACAGCCTCCTCTGACTTCTTCGCGCCTTGTACTTGTTGTTGTTGCGGATGCACTACCACGTCATAGTACAAAGCAACTGCCGGCAGTTCATCCTTGGTCCGTTCGTACACCTGTGCTTGGAAGCTAGGAACGGCAGCCGACAACCCCTGCAAGGTATTTCTCCACACTTGCTGCACCATCTCCCTCATTTCACCTAAGCCAGGCTCTAGAAGCATCAAACCTTTCTCGTTGCCCCCACTGTTGCTTCCTCGTCGAATCCTGAGACCTGACGTTGATCCGTCTTCGCTTTCTGGGTTGAAGCTTACTGTAACCGAGAACATCTTGACTCCAGAGTCCAGTCTTTGCTCGAATCTAGACGCTGCTGCGTTGACCACGCGCACTAACGACGCCAACAATGCCACATCCGTCATCTGCACACATAAAGGAAACACCGCAACTGCATCACGCAAGGCGATCTTTCGGCATCGTTTTAGTTCGCGGAATTCTAATTTTTGCTG